CTCGACCTTAATCCGCTTCCTCTGTGTACCGCGGAGGCACAAGAAGCCACAACGAAGGGCGTGTATCGACTCCCGCATGCTATCTACTACTGTAGCCAGACTCTCCGCGAGGGGACCACGAGTAAACGCATACACGCGCATGCGTAGTTCGCTGAGGGTTTGCACTTTAGTGCTTTTTCAGTAATGGACGAAGCTTACATAACAGCTACCCTATATTGCATAACCTTACATGATAAGAAGAGTAGAAGTGTGTGAGGTATATATATAGGCAATAAAAAATCAATAAAAAATTAACAAAAAGCAAAATTAGTGCCCTAAACAATAGTGAGGAACCTTTTGCATCATTCCTAGGAGAGTGTGATTCTCCTAACCTTGGCACAGATGCTAGCTGCACTGACTATGGGGTAGAGACTATCGGCTTTCTTCGCCACAGTGACAGACAGCTGCGGAAACAGCCCCGTCAGTTTTGCCTGGTACTTCCCAGGGTCACCCACTGTGTCCACGTAGACCTGGCGGGGGAAGAGATGAAGATGAGGAGTGGAGGAGAGGAAAATGCGTCTGTTTGCCCAATTGTACCCGACAGCTTCAGTGAGAACATTCTCAGTTTGAGCTCGAAAGGCCCATTTTTCAACTGAACAAGGAATCATTTCCAACCAATCTGCAAAACCACAGTATATACCTGAGTTAGGTTGACTCCATCAGCGAGGACCTTCCTGATGAGACCAATGGCCGTGTCGTGGGAGAGGGCATTCAAATTGTACTTCGTCCTGCACAGACACACACACACACACACACACACACCATTACAATTGACACCACAGTATGCACACACATAATTATACAACCACAATAAAACATGGTGTTTTGACACAACCAGCTGATGTGCTACTGATACACATTGATGCGCCATTAGGGATCTGCTGTGCACTATTATGCTAATACACACACGCCCGTTTGTTAAATTTTGCATTTCTTTTAGCATCATGAAAATATTTCTGCTGTGCATTACCTTCTGAGCATGCAGTTGGAGATGTGAGAGGGTGAGAGGATTTCCACCTTCCAGCCCAGGAGGCGGGGGGAGGAGTCAATGGCAGTAAACAGTTCCTCTCTTCTCTCCTCCGACAACACCTTAGAGTCTGTTGCACAGGTTGAGTGAGTCAGACGGTGGTGGGAGGGTGCAGCGTTCATGTTTTTTTCTTACCAGCCACTCCTGTTTGTTTCACCTCCTCTGATTTTGAGACGGGACAGAAACATGTTCCATACACCATTGGTCCTGTGAGAGAGGACACATATTCTCAGGTGGGTTAATACCTAACAGAGAGAGGGAGAAACGCACCTAGCACAGGGCCTCTCCCAGCTTCATCAATACCCATGCAACATTCTTCACTCTTTGCCCAGTCAGGAACGGGACTTTGCACGCTGCAGCTACGCTAGTGTCCGAGAGAAACTCCTTCAGATCCAGATTCAACCGGCATACTGGCTCGCTCTTCCCCGAGTCCTTCTCTGCCGCTGTTACCTCCTTCTCCACAATCTCAGCCGCCATATTTCCTAACGCTGCCACGTGAGGTCAAAGTACAAATAATGCGCATGCGTCGTCGGCAAAAAAGGGTTTGCTCGTTAGGGCAAAAGTGGATGGTCTAGACGAAGAGAGTTAGGCAGCTCACATCGGACATGAAACTGCACACCAAGACCCGCACGCACAAATCCGGTGTTCTAAATGATGCCCACCCGCGTATTTCGTAGCGAAGACAGGCAGAGGCCGGTGGCTCTGGACAAGAAAGTATATACTGACCACCACAACAAGCAGGTGTGTACGGTACATGCATTAGCATAGCTAGACACGGCACTGCTGGGAAGGGAGCAGGCAAGACCCAGAGTCAGCAGGCACACCAGACACAGGTGTGGCTGGTGAATGGTACTCACAGACAAGAGTAAACCCTACACCTTGCATACATTTGCCCTTATGTGATGTGTCCTCCTGTCTCCATACTGTGCTATACCTCTCCTAAACAAGCAGTGGTCATGTTAAGCCAGTTTTGCAAGCAGTCAGCCAGGCAGGATACGTCTCCACGACCAACACCTGTGCATGCAATAGTTTCCTTCGGTATGCTACCATCACACCTTGTTTAATGAGGCATATTCCCTGGAGGAATTCCTCCATACTCTAAGGACTGATATACTTGTATGGAACCGGTTTGGTTTCACTTTGCGGTTTGTATGTAGTGAGAGTATTGTGCAAACTGTTCATGGTTCCTGGTTTTGTTGAGAAAGACATTATACAGAAAAACCTTCTCCAAACCGTCCACAAGTTTACCCCATGTTATTATCATTTCGGGCAGCACCAGTATCTTTAGAGAGGGGTTCCACTGTAGTACACTCCAGTCCTGACTAGACACAGGGACACCTTCTAGTAAGGTTTCTGGCAGGCAAAATTGTTTTTGATTAGGTTTCAGACTGTTTCAGACTAGACAGTGAAGCACTGCCATTTCCTGCCAACCTTCCTGTGTATCAGACAGTTGTTGGGACTGACTTGGTTCACTACATGTATGTTTTTGCCCCCACACAACCCTATGTTTATAAAAATTCCCATAGGTTTTGGTTACTCTTCTGGTAAAGTGGGGGGTCAAGAATGTCCATAAGCTACACAATCATCTGCATGTATATGCAGAATTCTATTGTTCTGCACACCTGACAGAAATTGTGAGACTGCTCACTAGAGAGAGCTCCTAGCACAGCACAGGACTCTGGTTGTAGTAGTGACTGATTTAAAGCTAATAAGTGAGTCCAGTGTGGGAGAAATAGGATATAGAACCAATTACCAGCATTACAGTAGAATGATTAATGTGGGAAGTGTTGGTGACTGTGAATGTACCGGCTGCCTGAGAGTATTTCCTGTCTCCAGTTGGTTTCTCAAGAACCACTGACCTCTCTATCCTACTCACCTCCCCTCTTTCTCTTTCACTTTCACTGGACAGTGTCTTCCCTGGGAGAGAGAGAGAGAGAGTGAAGCAGCTGGAGAGAGAGTGAACAAGAGACAGAGCTACTGAAATCTTGCCACTCTCCCAGAGACCACTAGACCCAGGATGAGGCTGCTGAGGTATAATGAAGACAAACAGTTATCGATTTCCTCCAATTTGCAAGCGAGCGAGCCACCAGCACTTTTGGTCGAATTGCGCAATGTTTTTCTGAATGTAAAATGTAGATGGCGCTATCCATACTGCAATGCTTTGTGTAATTCTAAATACATGACCAACACCTGTGCATGCAATAGTTTCCTTGGTATGCTACCATCACCCCTTGTTTAATGAGGCATATTCCCTGGAGGAATTCCTCCATACTCTAAGGACTGATATACTCGTATGGAACCGGTTTGGTTTCACTTTGCGGTTTGTATGTAGTGAGAGTATTGTGCAAACTGTTCATGGTTCCTGGTTTTGTTGAGAAAGACATACAGAAAGACCTTCTCCAAACCGTTTGTTTGACATCCACAAGTTTACCCCATGTTATTATCATTTCGGGCAGCACCGGTATCTTTAGAGAGGGGTTCCACTGTAGTGCACTCTCCAGTCCTGACTAGACACAGGGACACCTTCTAGTAAGGTCTCTGGCAGGCAAAATTGTCTTTGATTAGGTTTCAGACTGTTTCAGACTAGACAGTGAAGCACTGCCATTTCCTGCCAACCTTCCTGTGTATCAGACAGCTGTACATTTGGGACTGACTACTGAAATGCTCAACAACATGGGGCTACTATGGTTCACTACATGTATGTATCTTTTTGCCCCCACACCAACCCTGTGTTTAGTGTTAGCATCTTTGAAACCAAAATTTAAAAACAATTCCAAAAAAGGTTTTGGTTACTCTTCTGGTAAAGTGGGGGGTCAAGGATGTCCATAAGCTACGCAATCCTCTGTATGTATAATTATGCAGAATTCTATTCTTCTGCAGAGAGAGAGCTGCTAGCACAGCACGGGACTCTCTGAAAAGGAAGATAAGAGTAATCTAAAGTGAGAGCAGGTGGATTACATTTGCTCACACTGTGCTGCAGTAGAGCTCTATGTATGGAGGTGTTTATGATCCTGTTTTTGCTTCTTGTTGTTGTTGTTGTTGGGAACATGAACTGTGTCGACTGGGGCAAAGGCATCTCAGCTTCAGGTTCAGTCTACTGCGGCAGCCAGTAGCTCAGCCAAGGTTGGATTGTAGTAGTGACTGATTTCGTGGTAAAGCTGCATAATGCGGTGAGTCTTGTGGGAGAAATGGAATATGAGAAAGCAATTACCAGTATTACAGTAGAATGATTGATATGGGATGTGTTGGTGAGTGTGAATTTACAGTGTAGTACTCTGCCTGAGAGTACTTCCTGTCTCCAGTTGGCTTCTTACTGACCACCTCCCTATCCTACTCACCTCCCCCCTTCTCTTCCCCTTTTACTGACAGTGTCATCACTGGGAGAGAGAGAGAGAGAGAGAGTGAAGCAGCTGAAACAAAGAGACAGAGCTACTGAAATCTCACCATTCTCGAGAGACCACTAGACCCAGGATGAGGCTGCTGAGGTATAATGAAGACAAACAGTTCTTGATTTCCTCCAATTTGCAAGCGAGCGAACCACCTGCACTTTTGGTCGAATTGTGCAACGGTTTTTTTCTGAATGTAAAATGTAGATGGCGCTATCCATACTGTAATGCTTTGTGTAATTCTAAATACACACACATCGAACCGCTGAGATTTCACGCTTGCCTCTCAACCTAACACAGACAAATCCCGTATGTGTGTGTGATTGTTGCTTGACGTGTAGTGTGTTGTTTGGCCTGGCGGCTGTAGTAACAGCATACATGTGGAGGAAGCATGCCCATGCCAGACAGGTGTAGATCACACACATGTTCTTGTAGGGAACTGTGTGTAAACTCACTCATTAGCTCACAATGCTTCTATCTATAGCACACAGACTATTGTTAGACACATAACATTTGTTATGTCGATTTTCATCATCTGTGTTTTGGTTACACAATGCACTTGATCAACTTATGGAAATCTTACTACCATGCATTAATTTTAAGAGATAATGAAATGTGTTCTAGGGAGAAATAAGAAAGTAATAGCAATGGGGAGATGTCTATAATATAGAGGAAACCCTGGGAGAGTATCTATACTGTATGAGTTGGAGACCCTTTGTGTCAGGTGTTGAGGTGTGAGCTGAGCTGCTATCAAGGCCTGGTTCTTAAGGCTGTATATAGGATATGTTTGACTAAGAAGCCAGTTTTAGCTCCTCCAACGCCTTCAGCCCACGGCTTCTGTAGCAGTGGCCAGAGAGTATGTTGCCTATCTCACGGCACTCCTTACCCACTGCTGCCTAATATGCCATCCCTCCCTGACCTAGTAGAGTGGTGTTGTTTCTCGTGTGTGAATAGGCTGTGGTAACCTTACTCCATTCCTATCAACACACAGGAAATGCTGACAGGAACAGGCATAAACATGGCTCATGGCTCATGTATTAAGGGCTGTCCATCCATCTCATGTGTTGGCCCACCCAGAAAGAATGTCTGCTTTCTTTCAATTTCACAGTAACCTTTGCAGGCACTCAAAACACCGAACTTGCTATTTTCTCAAACGTTCCCATGGCAGGAAGGTTCAGTCTCATTGAACATGCAGTTGGCTAGATTACTTTATGTGGGGTGACGTCTCCCTTCTCACTGTTCCCTAATTTTGTGTAGGAGGACGAGACAACTATCCAGGCTCTCAGTAGTCAGGTGCAGCTGGCAGACAAGGCAACTATCCAGGCTCTCAGTAGTCAGGTGCAGCTGGCAGACAAGGCAGGGCTCTGCTCCTGCCACGAACTAGAAGACTGCCATTTCCAGTGTTGCCAGGTTCATTAACTAAAAAACCATGTATATATTATGTATATATATACATTGTGCACACATTATACAGTTTGTTTGGACCCAAAAATCCGTAGATTTTGGTTTGACAACATTGCATTTCCCTTATCGATGCATCCGCGTGCGGCTTCCCGTAACGCGCATGCGCACAGATGGGGGCGCGCTGAATATAGAAAAGGCGAATTCATTTTCCGGTCACTCACAGGGCAGGGCTGTTAATTGTTGTTTGCTGGAGGTATCGGTTTGCAGGTCGCCATGTCTCTCGCTGCCTCGGTTCTCGTGCTGCTCCTCGCCTGCCTGTACGCTGCAGATGCGCGTTCTGGCGGAGCTCCCGCCGCTGCTTGCGGGACCCTCATGCCCGATTTGCCCGGCCACACAGCAAACGGACAAACCGACCCGGTTCCCTACGAGATCGACCTGACCGTGTTTGATGAAGACGAAAACGGGACGTTGCAGTACACTCCCGGCGGAGTATACACACGTACGTTGCCTTCTATATACAGTCACGGCCACGCTGACATCTTTAATAATAATTGGCAGAATTATTCTAGATCTTGCACGCGCACACACAATCTATAGTGACTTTTAGACGGATGGGTGACGTGACGTTCCGGGGATTCTTGGTCCGGGCTCGGTTGGCCGCCGACAATAGTTTCTTGACGAACGCTCCATTTGCGATGATCGCGAGTCAGACAAACACTCGCATTAGCTCGTGCGAACCAGCGAACGTGAGTTTTGTTAATAGCCGTACATTTACTGGTTGTGGCAAGCTCTAGTCTTTGCACACAGAGCGGAATAACCCACAGCAATGGCCAGTCTCCCAGGGTTGAGCTCACAGAGGTGCGATTCCAGTGGACTGCTCCGCCTGCGGACACTGGGCCAATATTTTTTGGGTAAGCGACCACATAACATCCAGCAGTCAATGGGGAACCATTGCATAATCCTGCGATTATCTAGGTTTGCGGTTGTTCGGACCCAACAAGTATACTGGGCAGCCCAGATGAGTGCTATGCTGAAGGAAGGACCTCCAGCTCCTCCTACTCCTACTCCTACTCCAATTCTTTCTACTCCAGCTGCCACACCTGCAGCTGCCTCAGGTTATTAACCCTCGGCGCGCATGCGCAGCGAGGGTTACGGTAGTCGTTCTGTCTGTCTGTCTGTCTGTCTGTCAGCAGCTATTCTCGCACTACAGGCTACGAGGCGGCCCATGAGCGATACCGACGTCTTCAGAACTACGCGAGCCTGTATTAGGCGTTTTTCCTGAAACGACTGCGTTCGAGAGATATGCCGTGAAAACAAGCGAAAAGGCCAATATGCATAATCGCACTCGGCTTACCGCGACCTGATCCGCTCGCTCTGTGTACCTTGGGGGCTCAGGAAGTCACAACAAATAGCATGTATCGACTCCCGCATGCTATCTACTACTGTAACTAGCCTGTGTCAGACTCTCCGCGAGCTACTAGTGGGAGACCACGAGTAAACGCATACAACCATAAATACAAACATGTGTTTGGGATGGATCTGAGCCCTTTAGCTATTCTATGGTTAGTTCGTTTCGTGTTTAGTAGAATGGGCTTTCCATTTCCAGCCTAACTTCAATATGTACGAACCTAAGGATCCATGTAACATCCACTGTAAATCTGTATATATGCACATACGTGTTTATTATTTCTGTGTATGAATGGTCTCCGCAGGTCTTGCAGCCTCTGTACTGTGTCTCCTGCTGTCTCTGGTACCTCTTCTCCAGCTCTGAGAGGGAGGACCCTACCATTAGCTATGAAATAAAGACAGTGTGTGTGTGTAGCAGCTCCTTGACCCTATGAACACTATTGTAGCCTATTGCTTGCATAATTTTTGGAAATTGATTTTAATAATTTATTCTTGCGTGTCAACTGCATTGGGAAACAAGAAGCATGCCCATAATAATAGTGAGAGGCGCAAGAGTATAATTCATGCAACAGCAGCCAAACAAAGCATAGAGTTCATCATTGTTCGTTGAACGGAGCCTTCTTGTTCCGGTTCTCTCTAGAGAATATATTTGGTAAGATCACTACCATATGGCAGGGCGAGGGGACTGCATTCCTTATTTCTGGTTGCAGCTTACAAAGTCGTTGTGACCCTACTTCCTGCTCTTCTTACATCATCCTCAATTCAAGTCCTACTTACATCCTCCTTACATCCACCACACACACACTGCGTAAAGTGACTCTCAGTGGTATATAACAACGGAGAGACATTCCGAGGATTCTTTGTCCAAAGTCGACTGGTGGCCGACGATTGTCGTGTGGGGACGTTTACAGCAACTGCAGCCAACTCCCAGCCCAGGACCTGCACTATGCAAAATGTGTTATACTCTTCCAACCATACTGCAGTAATGACTGTTATACTTTTATCTATGACTGTAGGATGCAATAACCCATAGATTAACTTTGAAACAATGAGCACGGACTAGACCTCAGGGGACTGGAGCTATCCGATTTCGGTAAGCTATACTTGACACACACACACACAAACACACACAACTAACTTTGCCACTAAGTCAGTAGAGGATATTATGACCTGTGATGTAATGGACTGTAGACGCACAGGTTTGCAGTAGTGCAGGTGAGAGTCACATACTGGGCCAACCAGATGACTGCCATGGTTTCTGAGGCACCACCACTGTGAGTAGGCTGTGGTAACCTTACTCCATTCCTATCAAGACACAGGAAATGCTGACAGGAACAGGCATAAACATGGCTCAGGTATGCTGATGTATTTTAAGGGCTGTCCATGTCACAAGTTGGCCAGAAGACTGTCTACTTTCTTTCAATTTCACAGTGACCTTTGCAAGCGCTCAAAAATATAAATTTTTTATCAAATGTTCACATGGCAGGAAGGTACAATCGAATTGAACACTGCAGTTTGCTAGATTACATCTTTGTTTTATGTGGGTTGACCTCTCCCTTCCCACTTCCATAATTTTGTGTAGGAGGACGAGACAACTATCCAGGCTCTCAGTAGTCAGGTGCAGCTGGCAGACAAGGCAGGGCTCTGCTCCTGCCACGAACTAGAAGACTGCCATTTCCAGTGTTGCCAGGTTCATTAACTAAAAAACCATGTATATATTATGTATATATATACATTGTGCACACATTATACAGTTTGTTTGGACCCAAAAATCCGTAGATTTTGGTTTGACAACATTGCATTTCCCTTATCGATGCATCCGCGTGCGGCTTCCCGTAACGCGCATGCGCACAGATGGGGGCGCGCTGAATATAGAAAAGGCGAATTCATTTTCCGGTCACTCACAGGGCAGGGCTGTTAATTGTTGTTTGCTGGAGGTATCGGTTTGCAGGTCGCCATGTCTCTCGCTGCCTCGGTTCTCGTGCTGCTCCTCGCCTGCCTGTACGCTGCAGATGCGCGTTCTGGCGGAGCTCCCGCCGCTGCTTGCGGGACCCTCATGCCCGATTTGCCCGGCCACACAGCAAACGGACAAACCGACCCGGTTCCCTACGAGATCGACCTGACCGTGTTTGATGAAGACGAAAACGGGACCTTGCAGTACACTCCCAGCGGAGTATACACACGTACGTTGCCTTCTATACTGTACTCGGTTCGGCCACGGCCACGCTGACAGTTGGTAGAATTAGCTAAACATTCTGGATCTTGCACGCGCACACACAATCTTTAGTGACTCTTAGACAGATGGGTGACGTGACGTTCCGGGGATTCTTGGTCCGGGCTCGGTTGGCCGCCGACGACAGTTTCTTGACGGACGCTCCATTTGCGATGATCGCGGGTCAGACAAACACTCGCACTAGCTCGTGCACACCAGAGAACGTGAGTTTTGTTAAATAGCCGTACATTTACTGGTTGTGGCAAGCTCTAGTCTTTGCACACAGAGCGGAATAACCCACAGCAATGCCCAGCTTCCCAGGGTTGAGCTCACAGAGGTGCGATTCCAGTGGACTGCTCCGCCTGCGGACACTGGGACAATATTTTTTGGGTAAGCGACCACATAACGTTCAATAGTTAATGGGGAGAAAAACCTGTTGTGGTTATCTAGGTTTGCGGTTGTTCAGACCCAAAATGTATACTGGGCAGCCCAGATGAGTGCTATGCTGGAGGAAGGACCAGCACCTACTGCTACTCCAACTACACCTGCAGGTTATTACCCTCGGCGCGCATGCGCAGCGAGGGTACTGTAGTTGGGTGTGTGTGTGTGTCTGTTACTCTCAATCTCACTTCTCGAATGTCTGTTCGTCCCAGAAACGCTACCATCTACCCAACGGGCGACGAAGGTCAGAAAATATGTGGGGTTTTCTCTGAAAATGCTCCGTTGCAGAGCTAGAGCGCTTCCACCATTGTACGGCTAATGCGTAGTCGGCCATTTTTATCGCTGCGGAAAATGCGCATGCGCTTATAACCTCGACCGGGTCGTCCGCTTGCTCTGTGTATCTTGAAGGCACAAGAAGTCACAACGAAGGGTGTGTATCGACTCTCGCATACTATCTACTACTGTAGCTAGCCCGTGTCAGACTCTCTGCGAGCTACTAGCGGGAGATCACGAGTAAACGCATACTAATAGCAGCCCAGCCCATCAATTAGCGGTACCGCGCATCCCCAGTTCGCCGAGGGTTTGCACTTTAGTGCTTTTCATTATCATCAGTATTATACAAACATTTTTGTTCGGGATGGATCTGAGCCCCTTAGCTTTGTTCGTTTCATGTTTAGTAGAATGGGCTTCTCCATTTCCAGCCTATTCTCACTGACTCCAATATGTACGAACCTAAGGATCCACGTAACATCCACTGCATATGCACATACGTGTGTCCTCGTGAGTATTACATAATGTGTACCACCACGTGCAATGAGTTGTACACATAATTATTATTCACTGGGACGTTCCATCTTCAGTACCTTATTGCAACACAGTTTGCTGTATACTACCAAAGGAGGCAATTTTGAATTTACATACGTGTCTACCTAGAGCCATCCGCCACTCCTATCCCAACTGTCGTCACCCCGGAACCTAGTACGACCCCTGGTCCAGAGACGACAGCCCCCACCGAGGAAACCCCTTCCGTTGCCACCGTTCCACCCGCTGTCCCCTCTTCCTCTCCCACGACACCCGACAACGCCACGACTGAACCGGAGGGCACAGAATCAACTGCCTCCGCTTCAGGTGAGCATCGTACAACTGTCCATATATGGTACACAGAATGCACACCAACTTGTCATTAAACAGTGTAAATACTCAAACTCGCTGTATTGAAACCTGGCTGGTAATACTGCAGTTGAGCCCTTCTGTTGATGGGTTTGCATACTTCAATACACTACCATGCATGCAATGTACCTACACTACTGCTGACAACTTATGTGACGTATTATGTATGGATCTTGGCTGGTATGCCACACAGCCCTGGCCTGCCAAAGAACTTTGTATTATATTTCGTGACCCTACTTCCTGTCTCTTCTTACGCCATCCTCCCTACTTATCCTCCTTACACCACACACACACACACACCACACACTGGCTAGAATTGACTCCCCCCCAAACAGAATTCTCTTACACGTTGCTCAGAGAGAAGAGCAGAATGTGCCTGCTACACAGCCAACCCAGTCACGCAGCTCTAGCATCACTTCTGCTTCCTTTCTCACGTTTATCATAGCCAATACTATATAGCGCCGAGCATTAAAGTTGTCTCTGTGCTTGTTATGCACCTATACGTGGCACTTTCATTTCCGTATGTTAGCTATAGCTGTGAAATTTCCTTGTTGTCTAACATTTATGATTATTGCATCACTATTGCAGGTGTGTTGTTCTCTGGACTGAGCATCCTGCTGGCCATGCTAGCCACTCTACTCCTCTAATAGGAATCCATTAGGACAACAAGAGCGTGTGTCACATGATAATTTAGTATAGTCGACCATTTTAACTCTGCATTCATTGTGCATTTCACTTTGGGAATAATATTTCACTTTGTGGGTAAAAATGACAACGTACAGTAGTTCCCTGACATATTATATACAACAATAATCGACAAGTGGAAAAACATTGGCTGTGAAATCATCTGAACGATAGCTTTGTCTGTTTTGATAAGGAGGGTCCTCCCCCTCCTCCATTTCTTCTCTTGCGGGACAGCCTCTCGTTCTCTCTCCTTATGTCTTCCGCATCTTCCTGACGACCGATGCGAGAACTACGCAGTGCAGGAGGGAAGGGGTTAAGGCGTAAAAACTTGGAGAGAGAAGGGTTATATACCTCCTCATTTCTTCGTACTGCTGCTGAGCAAAGCTGGATTCCATCATTCGATCATCATCATCATCATCTCCATACCTATAAAAGAGTGACATCCCTGAATAACTTTGGGACTTTCAAAGGTATCCACTACAAAGGCAGCCCTAACTTCACTACAAAGGCAGGAAATCTCTTTATCACAAACCTTCGTCTGTCGTATCCGAAAATTTCTCTAATGGCTGATGAGACATCGTCTCCTTCTTCATCGTCGACCACGAAATCGTCCAACCCATCGTCTTCCTCATCTTCTTCATTGTACCCCTCTCCTCCCCCCTCCCTCAGTCTCTCCACATACTCATTCATATCACTCACCCATGAACTCTGATGATGACGAGGACCAGAAACAGTCGCTCTTTTGTTTGCAAATTTCGGCCTCCCTTCCTTGGAAAGCTCAGCGTGAGAGCTAGCATAGAAAGAATTAGACTTTGCAGAGGGTTTTGTTGCGGTTTTGGCACTCTCGGCTGTTTTGCTGCCATTGGCTGAAGCTTCGAGTTCTTTCCTGAACCTTTCTCTCATGAGGAGGGCAGACTCGGGCATTTTCTGGGAGGTCCCTACCTCTCTTACAGCCTTCCCTCCTCTGCCAACCACTCTGGACTGGGCCAGTTCTCTCAGTTTGTTTCCCACGGCTGAGCATTCGCCACCACCTGTCTTCTGTCCCACTCTTGATCCGCTCTGCGACGCATCAACACTGTTTTTCTCTCCTGCCCCTCCCCCTTCCCCTCCACCTCCTCTTTCTCCTCCTCTGCCAAGTCCATTTCTCCCTCTCCCTCGACTGGTGCTCTTCTCCAGCAGCAGTTTCCCAAGCGGCGACCGACTGCGACTTCTCCCTCCCAACGGCTTATCCGCACATTTTCCCATCTCCGCTGTCCTTATATGATCCGTTCTACTTGGTCCACTTGCAGCGACGTTGCCTCTCTTCCCAACACCAGACTCTGCACTCTGGTGCCCGGACTTCTTCTGCTCTGCCAGTTTCATCAGTTGCTGGAAGTTTACCGGAGGCTTTGGCCCACCTGAGCCTCTCGCAACAGTAGAGGACATTGTTGTTGGTTTTGACGACGTTGCACCTCCTGTCGTTTTGTACGACGATGTAACTCCTGGTGGTTTTGAAGAAGGTGTCTTCGATCCACTAGTGGAACCAGAAGATTTAGAGACGGACAGTGTTTTGGGTGTTTTGGAAGTCGAAGTAACGGCTGATGACTTTGAGGATGAGGTTTGGGTTGGAGATATTTTAGTTTTCCCTTTCGCAGTCTGCGAGGACTTGTCTGATTTTTTACTCGGGTTGCCGCCATTCGTCTGTTTACCAGAAGTGGTTGCCAGGGGGTGTGGCCTACCGTTGCTGGGTGTGGTCCTATTCGTACCACAATCACTAGAGGAAGCAGCAGACAATTTAGCAGCTGCCTTCTCATACTCTGGAGGAATTTAAAAAAACTTTATCCTTGTATCAAATTTGGCAGTTTGGGTGCGCCAATTTTAACAGAGTCCTTCAAAATTTAATGGCTGCATTGTACATACCTGCTGCTCTGCTGTTGACGATTCCTCTGTACTCTCTCTCCTTCTTCTCCGTGGCTTTCTTCATGCCGTGGAGGAGAGCTGAGGCCTTTCTGACCTTCTCCATTCTCTCCTCCTCCTCTCTCCTCTTCTTCTCCTCCTGTTGCTTCTTCTTTTGCTCATGCTGCATGCGAGGGGAGCAGGGGGAGAGGGGGAAATAACACTCAAGAAGTGACTAGTTACTAGTAGTTCACATAGGACCATATAGTTAAGGGTTCAAGGAGAGGTGAAAAAGAAAGGAGAGTGAGGGAAAGAGGTTTTTTTTTAGGGTGTCTAGACAGAACAGAGAAACAGACCACAGATAACTCACCTTCTTTTGGGTGTAGGACTGGTTGGCCGACGCCTGCTTCAGTAGCTGCTGGAAATCCATGCCGTCACGTGCCCCAGGTCTATAATGGTAGACCACCCCAAGGATATACACCTGCCTGATGTGTTCTAGTGCGTTCACAGTGTCTGAAACGAGGCCTCTCCAAGAGCGGATCTCGCTGCGAGCGGCAGTGCGCTTCAAATAGAAACAAGTCCGTGGGAAGCGGGTTAAACCCTTTACTCGCACACACGATGTGCCTCGCGCGAGGGAAGAGAAGAGAGTATGGACGAACTGGACGCGTTCTTGGACGAGAGGGTCGGTTCAGACCCGGACCTCCTCCCAGACCTGCTGGAGAGCCTCACAAAGGAGAGAGACGAGCTAGAGCAGCAGGCAAGTCGCACCGCTACAAAACAATACCACTCGCAGTTTACTCGCGACTCGTTCCCTCGCGAGGGGGAACTCTTTCTCTAACTCTAGCTGCGTGGAGAGGTGGCAGCGGAGGGAGACAACGCGTGGCAGGAGGTGGTGTTTGAAGTAAAGGAGGTTCTCTCGCAGCTTGAGGCTCTCAAGACTACCTGCACACATCTCTCTGGAGAAGGTGCCTTCTTCTACATAATACTTTGTTTAACGTTTGTTGTGTGAGGTGTGCAGATGGTGAGGGGGTGAGTCTGGGAAGAGGGGAGGTGGGAGAGTGTGCAGATGGGCTGAGAGAGAAGGCACAGCAGCTGTTACAGGCTACAGCGCCTCCTTGCCTACCTCAACTGGCTCCTGAAAATCATTGAGCTCAGGTTATACTTACTATTAACAGAGGAAAATGTTAACGGTTGTTTTGCTGTGTCTGATTGCAGTTCCAGAATTGAAGCGGAGCTGTCGCCGGGTGGGGACCTCTCCGTGGCTGTTGGTTGCCATGGAGACCTGGTTACCGTGGCGACACAGTTGGAGTCGTCTCGTTGTCGACACCTCGTGGAGTACTCCGCCTCCTGTGTCGTGTGGTGGGGGGAGAGGTTAAGAGAAAGAACAGTGAGGTAAGAGAGAGATTAAGGAACCCGCTGCCTCTCTCTGGCCCCTCCCTCTTTCTCACTTAGTATTCTTCCTTTACCTCTCTTTTCTCTCTCTCAGAGATTTTTCATCAGTGCTGGCTGAACTACACTGGCCCTTCTCGTCCTCCTCTATCTCCTATTCTCTTCACGACCGCAACGAAACTTTCTCAGAACTTTTCCACCTCCTGTTGAAACTGGACCCTCTGGGGGGCCAGCAAAACCTGGGGAACCACGGTAAAAACATGGACGACCCCCTCCTGTACCCTGTGGAGCAGCTGGTGCAGCCCCTGAGGAGACGATTTCGTTACCACTTCCTGGAGGATAGAAGAACAAACCTTCTGGAGAAGGTGAGATAGGATCGCCAGGTTTCACCCGTGACTCTGTCGTTTGGTCCTCCCCATAGCCAGAGTGGTGTTTCACCCAGATGTCGTCATGGATACGAAGCCACACCCCTTTCCTGGAGAAGCTTGTACAGCCGTTGTTGGAAGCAGCAGGTCTGCACCATGTAGATGCTGTGGTGAGCTCCAATTAGAACCAGCATTCACCGGTACTAGTGACCAGATTCTCACTAAAGGTGGAGTTTACGCGTGGACTGCTGCAGGAAGTTGAAGTGAAAGCTCCGTCGTGATGTTCAGGACATGGTTCAGGACGACCTGTTAATGGCTCATCTCATTGACGAACTGCTTCTCTTTAACCGGGAGCTGATGTTGCTGGGCTACCCTCCCTCCTCCCCCTCCCCCCTCTCTCTCCTCCTAGACACCACCTCCTTCAGCAAGTGGATCGCTCTTGAGAGACAGTGTAAGACATCCACAACCCAGCATACCCTCTGTAATGCATGCTGATTGTTAAGTTCTGCAGGCACTGAATTAGCATAGAACTGGATTGTAACAATACTGTGCATTAGAAGAGTTATTATTGGCACCAGATCGAACAAAACAAGTGCTTTTTGAGAGTGTCATACTCAAATGATCAGCAAGGGTTGCTGCACTAGTGTGGGTCGCAGAATTAGGTTCCACTGCATTGAGTGTGTGTGTGTATGTCAGTTGCAGAGGAGAGGCTGTTGGCCATGTCGACATCTCCAAATGCCTGGAGTCCAGTCTACGAGGCAGCAGCTGACACAGATGACAGCAGAGTACCCCAGGTTGCCGAATCTCTCCTCACTCTCATCGCTGGAATTACAGGTCCTTCTAGAATGTTCTTTCTCGTCCTAGTGTTCTTCTTGAATACACCTTGTGTATATTAGGGTGACCTAAACTCCTTTAAGCAAGCAAGTGGGGGGAAGGACAGGCCAATCAACCATCCTGGATACCTTTTTTATAAATAGAGTGTGCAGTGCAAACAATGATTGTTCAAAATAAGGTGGCCTAAACCTTTTGCAATGCTTACAAATCAAAAAGTGATGCATTTCATGACTGTGTTTTGGCCCATTCCCAGACCGGTACCGGAACCTGCCCAGCGAGATCCACCAGTTGAAGTTTGTTGGACTCCAACGAGACCTGATCCTGGATTTCCTCCACGACATCGTCGCGGCTGGAGACGGGACGACATCGGGGACGGGCCCCCTCTCCCCTCTCCTCTGCTCCCAGCTGAATGGCTGCAGCTACATCACGGCTGTTCTCAGAGAGTGGGGAGAAATGAAGGTACAGTCTCCCAATGGCTCCGTCCGTAACCCATTTCCTTCTAGCACCGCACTGCTTCTTAACTTTCACATAAAATGCTGTTTCTCTTTTCCACACATGCATACATTGTCGAAAACTTCTAGACTAATTGCCTGTTGTATGACTGTTAGTACTGCGTTTCAACACTCAATGTATAATTATGGTGTACTTTCTGATTGTATTAAGGCCAAAGTTTTCTAAACTGGAGCTGACTTCTTTCTCTTCCATGCAGTTCTTTGTGTCCCTCCACTACTCTGAGCAAGACCACACCTCTTCCTCCTCTGACCATCCCCTCCCCACTGGTCGACCGGACATTGACACCATCCTTCAACTGAGGAGACAAGACTCTGCCTTTGCCGAGGTGGAGGGCAACGTTTTCTCCGCCGTCTCCTCTGAGTTCAGGACACACTCGGGCGTCCTACAGGACAGACTGGTCCAGCAGGTCGTAAACTCGTTTCAGGACGAGTTTGAGGCGGTATCGGAGAGAGGACTGGCAGGAACTGGAGAGAGATGCGGGGGAGGTGGCATGGCAGGAATTGTCCGTCTCTCTCTCGGCGGTCCTTCCTCAACTCCAGGGACAGCTGGCTTTCCTCAGAGACCACCTCTCAACCCCCCAGTTTGCCGCCGTTTTCCAGAGGACAGCCAACCATATTGATCAGGTCCTCTTCAGTGAGGTATATATGTGCTAATTTGTGTGTGTGTGAGCCATTATGAGATCACAAACTTGTTTAAAGTTTCAAGATATATCACTGTTGTTTCAGGTTATTTTGTCAACTCATTTTGGAGTGGGTGGAGCCAACCAGTTGAACTTTGACCTCACGGCGGGGTTCCTGCCCGTCTTGTCCCAGTTCTGTGAGGACGACCTGTCGGCACGTCAGCTGATGGAGAGGTCAGGGTAGCCGTCCATTTTAACCTTCTAAGAGAGAAGACTTACCCACTGACCACTGTCCAACCATTTAGAAGTTCCATTGGTACAGTTGTGACCACATGAGTACAAGAGGTGTGCATTGACATGTGAATAATGTCAGAACCTTAGCGTTGCACTGCCGTCCGCCGACAGTGTGTGCAAGATTCCATATTTACTTAGCTAATTCACACTTGTGGCTATATAATGGATTGATTGCCCCGAAATGAGCCACTGTCAGCTGTCAAAGAAAGCGCACACCCCTCAGACCCTCTCTCTCTCTCTCCTCCCCCCTCAGACCCTCTCTCTCTCTCTCTCCTCCCCCCACAGGTGTAGGGAGTCTTGTCGTCTGCTAACTCTCTTCCCCGGCTCCGCAAAACTGCTCCAGGAGCTGCTGGTGGGTGTGGTCAGGGGTGGAGCAACCACACCCATCGAGACTTACACCGCAGCCGTGACAACACTCAACGAGTTTGGAGTCCATACTTTGGAACCAGTTCAGGCGTACCAGATTCTGTCCAACATGATAGTTCAACAAACTTAGGTCTAATATTTTTGAAGTTGGAAAACATTTTTTGTACCTGACAACTACATACGTAACTGTGCACACATTAATTGTAGCCCACAATCCAAAAAAGAAGTAAAGATATATGTATAATGGGTTGACTTGGCCAAATTTTGATGTCGCTACTTTCATGGAACATGCAAGGATTGTGCGCCATATTATTATGATTAAGTTCAAAAATGTATCATACACAATGCACAGTATCAGTTCTATATATAGCCGAAATGAGCAGTGGTCAGGCAGCTCCAGTTAGAGCACACCCTGGTTGTCTAGGAGACGAACTCCTTGTTGTGGTACTTGACAAGGTCGAAAAACGAGGTGACCACCACGCGATTTGCAAACTTCCGTCCAGCGAGGGCAGAGTGGGCCTTGCTGCACTGGTCTGCTGAGCCAAACTCAACAAATATCTGTGCATTGATAACATGCAGCATAAAGGTGTGCTGGTTTTTTAATTGGAGCCCACCTTCCCAACTCCAGGTATATCGACACCTCCGACTGGGCGGGGTATCTCCACGGAAACGACTTCACCATAGCGACTGCATTCTTCCCTCACGTCCTCCATGATACCTGTCAAATGCAGGCACAGTGAGAATGCACTTCAGCATAACATTACACAAGGCACGCTAAGCACAACATCGCACACCAAGTGACCACCACGCGATTTGCAAACTTCCGTCCAGCGAGGGCAGAGTGGGCCTTGCTGCACTGGTCTGCTGAGCCAAACTCAACAAATATCTGTGCATTGTAATAACATGCAGCATAAAGGTGTGCTGGTTTTTTAATTGGAGCCCACCTTCCCAACTCCAGGTATATCGACACCTCCGACTGGGCGGGGTATCTCCACGGAAACGACTTCACCATAGCGACTGCATTCTTCCCTCACGTCCTCCATGATACCTGTCAAATGCAGGCACAGTGAGAATGCACTTCAGCATAACATTACACAAGGCACGCTAAGCACAACATCGCACACCAAGCACCATTACACAAGGCACGCTGGGCACACGAGGCAAAGCTAGACACAGCCACACATCTGATCCACTAGAAAACCCAGTAGCAGTACGTGGCACACTATATCTCTAACCTTCGTATTCTTCATCATCCTCCAGCTCCTCCTTGGAGACCATGTTCATGAGACAGAGGACCTCTGTGGCTTCCTGCGCCGTACCTGCCACCTGTACATCAGGGAGAGGGAGAGAGAGAAATATAGGATACCTCTCTAAAATTTTGCAGTTTTATAAAGGAACATGAGAGGGAAACTTAATGAGAGAAAAAGACACTGCTTTAAAGTTGTATAAAGGACACTTTAATAAAAACATTTGCAGTTTTGCGAGAGAGAGAGTTTTGTCACTGACCTGTAATCCAGGGATGTTGATAGGCAAGGGGACATTGGGGATGGACGGCATGAACATAGACATGTCAGCTCCTTCTCCCGTGATGACTTTCGATGCACCCACGCTGGCCCTCTGGACTATCAGCTTCTTGTCTCCCAGCTGCATTCCGTTCAGACCCTGGATTGCCTGAGTGGAGAGGGACAAGAGGGAGGGGGAGAGAGAGAAGAAGGGGGAGAGAGGGAGGGAGGGAGGGGGAGAGAAGAATAAGGAGAGAAGGGAAGAGGGGAGGGGTTAGTTGTGTGTCAATCAAACCATTTGCACTTGTAGCCCTAACAACCTGCCTCTCAATTTAGCATAGAGATTTTTGAGACCAAAAACAAAGTAAAAACCTCAGTTTTAGGCAATGTTTCAGTTTGAATTATGAGCTTGGGAGGCTATTTAGCGACTGGAACTGTTCCCATATGAGTTGGCCGGTGGCGGAATGAGCTGATTAGGGATCATTCCTACTGCCTAGCAGCTGCGAGATATACACGTGCCACAAGTCCATCCCAGCAAACTCGTGAAACTTCCAATTCGGACACCAATGAGCCGAAGAAAGTGTCCATATTACCGTATTTCTAAAAATGCTTTTGGGAAAATAAACAGGTGTGCCTACTAGAGAGGTGTCCTCATTGCCTTAGAAAGGTGTCCTCATTTCAGGATTCCTTAGAGGTGTCCTCATTTCAGGATTCCTTAGAGAGGTGTCCATCATTTCAGGGGTGCCTTAGAGAGGTGTCCTCATTTCAGAGAGGTGTCCTAGGTGTCCTCATTTCAAGGGTGCCCTTAGAGAGGTGTCCTCATTTCAGGGGTGCCTTAGAGAGGTGTCCTCATTTCAAGGGTGCCCTTAGAGAGGTGTCCTCATTTCAAGGGTGCCCTTAGAGAGGTGTCCTCATTTCAAGGGTGCCCTTAGAGAGGTGTCCTCATTTCAAGGGTGCCCTTAGAGAGGTGTCCTCATTTCAAGGGTGCCCTTAGAGAGGTGTCCTCATTTCAGGATTCCTTAGAAGAGTGTATATACACACACAGGCAGTCTGTGGCCCACAGTTCTCTCCCTCCCAGTCAACTCACCGCGTCAGTAATTCCCTCAATGACGTACTCAAAGAAGCAGTAACCCTTCGAGAAGGTGGTGCCGCTGTCCTTGACCAGATTGAACGACTTGAGGTCTCCAAAGGAGCACAGCAACTCTTTGACCTGAGGGAGGAGCACACATTAACAGAAGAGTTAGTTTAGCTCAGCAACTTCTCAACTAAAAGTAAACGTGTCACAGAAGGGGGCAAATGATTTTAAGCCTCACACACTGCTTTGATTTGCAGAATTTCATTATGACTGGCTCACAAAGATCATTGTTTTAACCTCATACTCACACATTGGAAATCGATACCTTAAAATGTGAACACAATTTCAACGTAAGCAAACCTCAAAACGTCACTTGTGCTAGCACGGCTATAGTGATTCTGTACTGTGCAGTAGATAAATATAGTAGCTACATATTATAGCATGCACTTACATACACCCTCTGGAAATCACCAGACACCACTGGCCAATAAGGCAGGAGGAGGGGGAGAGAGGGGAGAAGGCATACACACATATACACTTCATATAAACAGCAACTCCTTGCAAATTTCTCTAAACTAAGTACGCCAGTCCCTGAAAATAGTGGCTAAAAACCCTATAACAATCATTGCTGTGAAAAAACGAGAGAAGAAAACAGCAGCATTTCCTGAGCAACGCAGTGTGCTAAAGGAGAGAGAGCCTGGGGGGAGAAAATTTGCTGTGGGGGGAGAAAACTGGGGGAACCGATTCTGTATGCAGTGCGCTAAAGGAGAGAGAGCCTGGGGGGAGAAAATTTGCTGTGGGGGGGAAAACTGGGGGAACCGATTCTGTATGAAGCAGTGTGCTAAAGGAGAGAGAGCCTGGGGGGAGAGAATTTGCTGTGGGGGGAGAAAACTGGGGGAACCGATTCTGTATGAAGCAGTGTGCTAAAGGAGAGAGAGCCTGGGGGGAGAAAACTGGGGGAACCGATTCTGTATGAAGCAGTGTGCTAAAGGAGAGAGAGCCTGGGAGGAGGGGCCATTGGGCGAGGAGGGAGGGAGGGAGGGAGAGAGGTATCTGTCTCCTCTTGACATGCTGGGTAAGTTTGCAACTGCCGGGAGAGAGCAGGGAGAGATGGAGAAAGAAAACATCATTACAGCATCTCCACTTCAACTCACACACAATAATTATATACACACACACTACACATACTGTATATACAACTAGCATGAAGGGCCACTTTGATTTTCACTATAACTCCGCATTATAGTAAAACTTTTATAGTAGCAAACAAGCTGCATCTTTACTTTCATTGCGTAAGTATATAATACACTACGTTCTGTAGAGATGTGCTAGGTTGTATTAGTGAGAGGATTGCCAGCACAGAGGGACGATCAAAGCAGAGATGAAACCAGCTTCACTGGCAGGTAATACACACAATTCCCCTGGGTGGCTGTTCAGATGTTTGCATACTTACCCAACTGTCCAACCTACTGCAGTACATCAATGGTTCTACTAATAGAGCTGGCTGTGGCCTATAATAGTACTTTGATCTCCAATCAAAAACCATCCTCTGCTCAATAATGACCGCTGAGAATTTCCATGAGTGTTGAAATTACCTTTGATCTCAAAGGGGCCACTACACACGTGGGGCAGCTTGCAACTAATTACCAACGTTCCCTCTAATCTGACCCCCAATCCATGAGGTATTTCAGAAGACCCACTTGCCCTGCCCTCTACAATAAAGTTGCAATATGCTAGGACCACCCCTTCAGTTAACTTCTCTCTCCCTCTTTCTCTCACCTGGTCATCAGAGAGGTAAGTAGGGAGGCCTCCACAGAACACCTTGTGAGGACCATCGGGAACTACCGTGGACACCACCCCTGGGATGTGCTTGACTCCTGAATCTGTGTGTGTGTGTGCGCGTGTGTGCGTGTGTGTGTGTGTTTAGGTCTACAAACAGAAATAGGCTAAAAACTTGCCAGTGAGGCCGGGGATTGGAGCGTAGTCTTTTGGACGACGAATTTTCAGAGCTTGGCCCTGAGATAAGAGGAAAAGAGGGGCGGAGGTGAAAGAGAGAAGAGAGAGATTCTGATTCCGTGCAGAGCTGCAGACATGTAGATGTACCTGGAGCATGATCCCGTCAAATGCCATGGCATTAGTGGTTTCCTCGACTGAACGAAACTAAGAGAGAGGAGAGAGAGAGAGAGAGAGAGAGATGTGACTGTATAGCTGCAAGAATGCAATGTCAGACACACACACACACATGGTTGGGCCAGCAGTGTAGTTATTGAAGGGACGGGAGACAATACTGAAATAACCAATCATCTGACGCTCAGAATTTACTTAACTCCAAAAGAAGATTTTTAAAATGAGGCATCGTTGGTTGGGTAAAAACGACAGTGGCATCTGACATTATTACCTCGACGAAGGCAAAGTTCTTGTCCATGTTGATCTGCACGGCGAGAACAGGGTAACCCGGAGCTGAGCATAGTCTGGACTCCTGCATCTTGTCGTTGAAGAAATTGATCATCAGGTCCTCAGTGATTCCAAACGGAATATTGCCAATGTACAATCTGTGTGCAAATATAACAGCAGTGCATAGATACATACATGACTACAACTTTGCTGTGCAACCAAGTCTTGACGCAACTGTAATTTTATGGGTGTATAAGTTGTGTACATGATAGACACTTGTTGCCTGTGAGAATTCATCATGGGCCTAAGGAGGAGTGTATTTGTGAGGACAGCAGAAATGGACGAGAGAGAGAGATGGTGTGGATAAGAAGGGAACTAAACGAGATGGAAGTAGTGAGAAGTGACCTCCTGGCCTGTCTGGTCATCTGACTGGCGGCAGGTTGGGGAGGAGGGGGTACAGGGAGAGCCTGCGTGGCTTCTCCCAGAGCAGGCGGAGGGGCTCCGACTGTTGGCACCTGACCGGCAGCTGCAGGAGAGCAAGATAGGGGCAAATAGTGAGTGGGGATATGGTAGATGCAAAACACTACCACCATTACATCCTTTATGAGGGGGCAGGGATTCGGAAAATGGTGTTGTCCCCCTGTCAATTGTTGATTAAATGTCGGAACTGTTTTTGGTTTTCTAAGACTCGGTTACATTCCTCCCCAAATATCTAGAAACCCCCAAATCTAGGAAGCTAAGTAATGTGCCCCAGCCCCATCTGTCCCGGACCTTGCATGGCTTTGTACTGGAGAGGGGAGATGTGTTCAAATCCTCGTGGAGCCACGTCCCAGCACTGCGACGGCCTGCGAAGAAGAGAGTGGTCACACTGTTGGAATGGACACGTGGCAGAACGAGAGTTTTTGGCTCACCATCTTCTCGGGATCGAGTTGGGGCGTTCTTGGGTTTTGCCCTTCTCCTTGTCATATGACCGAGAACGGTGGCTGAAGAGGGTGAGAGAGAAATTTTCACACCCGAAGTAGGGATAATGGTCACTAGTTCTGACCTCCGTCTTCGGGCTCCCCTATCTCTCTCCCTCCCCCTGCCTCTATCTCTGTCCTTGTTGCGAGCTCTATCGCGGTCGCGGTCTCTATCACGACTGCCCCGTGGCTCTCTGTCCTTGGAACGGGAGCGTCTCCTCCGATCGCGACCTCTGTCTCGACTGCGAGACCTGGAGACCAACAAGTTCTTTGAACTCTGCACGCACAGGAATCTGTGTTTACTACCTCTTTCTCTTTCTGTCTGGGGAATGCTCCCTGTGGCTCCGCTCTCCCCTGTCCCGGGACTTCTGGTATTCTGTATACCGAGAAAAGAAGACAGCAGGATAGGGACCGTAAAACTGTGGTGCGCTCCAATTGGAATAGCTAACCTTCACGGCCCTGCTGTTCGGCGCCCCCGTTCTCTTCTTGTTTGACTTCCACTTGCTCACCACCGGCGTAGGGGCCTTGACCCGTGTAACTGAGGACAACCTGCGTTGGATCCATAGCCAGCAAACGTCGGCAAAACGCTCCAGAGAAAACGTCGCCGGGGCGCGTAATTGGCTGATCACGCGGGGTCACGTGCACTGGGTGTGTATCTAGCTAGATATCTAGCGATCGCAGCAGCGCAGAGGAAGAGACAAGGCTGCAGCAGGAAAAACACAACTGGAAAGGGCTGAATACCGTCACGTCGACAAACAAACTTTGAAAGTGAGTTGACTCACTACGTAGGGAAGATAGTTTCCGTGACGTGTCCGCTCCGCGTGTGTGTGTGAGAGTACGCTAATATCCGCCGCCCATTCTGTGATGAGTTTTTGCACATGGCTTTGCCCCTGCCTCGGTGTGGGCGACCTGTACCTCAAGCAACTGCACGTGCATATGCCCGCGGCTGTCGGGGCCGTGTTACCTATTCTTGCTCGCGCCCACACACGCAGGTGGAGATACAATGTCAGAAGCGGAGCGGGCGCAGAACCTCAACGACCAGCTCCGTAGGGAGGCCAACATCGAGAGAGCGCCGGTCTCAGCCTCATCGACACAGTGAGTAGCCCCCAGCACCCTCCCGCCCTAATTTTTCCCCGGGCAGAGCTCATTGCTATGGCGTTTCATAACTTCCACGGCTGATGGTTGCCAGGACCTCACCGCAACGACTTTTACTGCCATACTTCTGTGGCATTCTCAGCTAGCGTTTACAGAACAGTATCAGCCTTGGGAAATCAGCCCTGAGCTCCCCCACACGCAGAATGCATAATTATTATGTTATCTAAACACACTTGATGCACCCTTGAGCGTAAAAGCCTGAGCAATTCAACGGTGGGAGAGTTTGTTTTTTGTTTGTGTTTGTGTATCCAGTGGCGATATCAAAACTCTACCTCAGAGTCCGCAGTTTATTATACCGGACAACACAAGTGCGGTGTATGCACATCAAAAGACCGTTATCTGGGTATACGCTTCATGTTGGTCCCCAAATCGTACCATTGGGATTATTAATACTATGCCCTTTGGTTCACAGTGAGTTAACTCCTCTGAATGTGACAACCTCAATCACCCAATGACACATTCATTACATAGTCACTCATGCATGCCACTTATGTAAAACATCACATCCTCTATTGCACGAGGGATTTTATTCTGCCCCTTCTTTGGACCGTTGGGAAGATCACAGGAAACGGTTGTACGTATGTTTATAATACTTGTGTCTCCATCCAGCCTTTTCCTAGAACCTCTACATGTGTGTTTGAATCAGGGTATATAGCTCTTTTGTAGTTGTCCTTGGCGTAGTGGTGTGGTGTGGCATTTGCCTTGCGACTTCATTGTTGTTGTTTACATGCTTTCGTGGCATCTTTCCTTATAATTGGGGCCCCTTTCACTGCACCCAGACAAGTGCAGCCATTGACCACTAAGTGGTGTCATTGAGAGAAAGCCACTCTAAAAGGGACAGCATTCAGCTGTCTGTCTGACCTGTGTGTTGACTACGGCCTTTGTCACCCCTTTGGTCATATGGGTGGGTCACACACCCTCTTATACATATCCCCCCCTAAAGCGAACCAGCACCATTTCCAACACATCTTTCATCTTTGAGAACCCCTTCTTTTCTGCCCCTCCAGATTAGTGCAGTACACCAACCAACCGGACCCACTCATAGAAGGGATTCGCAAACAAGACAACCCCTTCATTAAGAAATCGACCTGCACCATTTTATGAGCACCGCCTTATTATAAAAGAATGTAAAATACCGACTCCTTCCAATATTGTGTATTCTACCACAGCTGTTGTTTGTACACACCTGTCCAGATGCATATTATAGTAATTATTGATGATTAAAAATCTTTTATGTTTCATACACCTGTATGTTTTATCATTCTAGTTGCAGTAATGAGATTAATTGGGGCGTGGTCACCTTTGTTGCTATAGTAACCTATAAACAGTCTTTCTCCTGCGCTTGTGGGTGTCCCCGGTTTCTCGGTCTAAAGCATGAGTAGAAAGGAAGCGAAGGATGCCCCGGGCGGAGCGGCCGCTGTCAGCAGCAAGCTAGCTCCGAGAAGTGAGGTGGGAGGACGGGGGGACGGGAGACCACGAGACGCTGTGGCAGCCGGGAGTGGTGCTCGAGGGCTCCCCGCAGGCGCTGGAGGAGGAGGAAGAGCTAACGCCGGCGGAGGGCGGGTCATTCGCTACAAGACGTGTCTGCGGAACACCATCGGAGACGTGCTGCGGGCGCGTGGTTGGCAGGAGGCGAAGGAGGGGGAGGGAGACTGGGATTTCTACTGGTGCGACGTTGCGTGGATGAGGGAGCATTTCGACGGGACGTATCTGGAGGAGCACCAGAGGATCTGCCACTTCAGAAACCACTACGAGCTTACCAGGTCTGTAGCAAGAGCCAATCGTTTTTCTTGGATACGTAGTTAGCTACTACATTCTGCTTGATAAAAATAATACTGCCAGAGTCAATTGGCCCTGGCTGCAGGAAAAATTTGATGGCAAAGAATTTGAAACGATTGCGGAAGGTGCTGGAGAAGGAGTCAACAGTTGAGGCGGCCAAATGCGAGTTTTTTCCCGCCACTTTCGAGCTCCCGTCCGAGTACCACATCTTTGTCGAGGAGTTCAAGAAACACCCCGGCACCATCTGGATCATGAAACCTGCCGGGAAAGCACAGGGGAAAGGTGAACAAAACCACACCTTGGTTTCGTGAACCAGCCGCTATACGCGTGGCATGAAAGAATATTTATTCTGGTTCCCAAGATGAACCACACCTGCTAAAGATTACCTACTATACAAGCATCTGCTCCCATTTATTGTTTTGTAGGAATATTCCTCTTTCGTAAGCTGAAGGACATCACGGACTGGAAAAAAGAAGACTACTTTCGTCGAGATGAGGAGAAGAGTGATAAAGAGCCTCCGGAAACCTACGTGGTACAGAGGTTAGGGTTTTTGCTGATCTAGTTGAGCAGCATCTATCTCCCCTCCCCCTCCCCAGATATATTGACAACCCTTACCTCATCAGTGGCAAAAAGTTTGACATTCGAGTGTATGTCTTGGTGACTTCCTACTCTCCACTGAAAGCCTGGCTGTATCGCAGCGGATTTGCTCGATTCTCAAACACCCACTACTCCCTTAGCTCCATCAGCGACCAGTACGTACACCTCACCAATGTAGCTATCCAGAAGACAGCACCTGATTACGACCCTGAGAAAGGCTGCAAGTGGTCTCTGCAGGAGCTCATGACGTTCCTGGCTGCACGACACAGCCACCAGGTAGTCCGACAGGCGAGGCAGCAAATGGACCAAATCTACATCAAGAGCCTCCAGAGCGTCCAGAAAGTCATGATAAATGACAAACACTGCTTCGAACTGTACGGTTTCGATATTCTCTTTGACGAGAACCTCAAACCGTGGCTCATCGAAGTGAACGCCTCCCCCAGCCTAACGGCGAGTAGCCCCTCTGATTACGAGCTCAAGTTTGGCCTCCTAGAAGACATGCTCCACGTACTGGACATGGAGGGGAGACTGATCGGGAGGGAAAACGTTAAGAGAGTCGGTGGATTTGACTTGATGTGGTGTGATGGACCAGTTGCCTCTGATGAGCTAGCACTAAACTGTGGCCAGCCTCTCATGTACACCACCAACAGCTTCCTAGGTTGCTATAACGATAGAGAGCAGCAACTGAAACAGCTTTTCAATCTATCACCCTTAGCTCAGTTGTGACCTAATCATGCTCTATCAAATTTTTCACGGCTATGCAAACTTTTACCGTGCAGCCCTGTACAATTTTCATGGCTCCATAAACTGAAACCGTCTACAAGTATTGTGAGGCTTTGTACAGCTGGTCTTCAGCAGACGAAGTCTCTTGCACGAGTTTCAAAACATCGTCACCCTGTGTTGGGAGGGAGCCAAGTGCAGTATATAGCATGTTCACACACATGCAGAGATAAAAGAGGCTTGTTTGTTCAGTTTCGTACCAGATATCTGTTTTGAAGTAGTTTGGTGGATGGGTCATCAGGATCACCCCACGGATAGCTATGGTACCTATATTACACACATCACCCAACCAGCAATGTCGGGGTCCATAATATAGGTCCAAATTTCCTATATACCTTCCTCCAGTTCCATGTGCTAAATCTCTCAGGAAACTGAATGAAGACCTGGTAGTGTGGGAATTGTATGCACAAGTAAGATGGGGTAAGGTATTATACTCACTCAAGTGAGCAGTGGAAGGCAACAGTGTGGATCTTCCAATGGTCTCCGTACCAAGTCCTCAACTGAGGCACTTGACTGAGGAGAAAGTTGTGAGTGTGGTCCTGTGACAGAGTTGGATCACTTTCTCGCGGATTAAACCTCAGGTGTAACAACTTACTGCTGTTCCATCAGTAATGAGATAGATATTCTTTACTCCTGATTCCAGGGACAGCTAACAACACAAAAAGTTATTTTCAAAGAGTCCTAAAGTTGAGCAGACCTTGAGTGCATGTAGGAGACAGCTAGAGCCCTCGGGCCTAAGCTGAGACAACCACTCAGCTGCCGAAGTCATAGTTTCATCATGGACAGGAGCCAAGGTCTCCTGCCACTGTTTCACACAGCTACTATAGGCCACCAGGTTGAAACTAAAAGACAACTCAACAGCAATGAATGGAGGGATATATTGCAAGATCTTACAATTTGAGGGAATGTGGTTTATTCTGCAGAAAGTCCGCTAGAGCTGCCTGTAGGTCTTTGAAGCCAATAGCCATTGAACTGGAAATGTCTACCAGAAAGAGCACCTGTGTGTGTGTGTGACAAAAAATAATGACTTAGTGACCAAACTTGTGTGCTTACTTTTGATTCGGAAACACAACCAAGAGCGTTTCTCCAGCCTGAAAAATAATATATAGTATGCCACTGGATAAAAGCTGAGGCAAACCTTTTCCAATTTCACGTAGCTTCTGAGAGTAGCTTTCCCTGGCCTGCATCAGTCTCTGTGTGAATTTCTTCAGAGCTTGATGATCGGCATACAACTCCACTATCTCTCCCTATAATATCCAGTCAGTATCCACAGGTTAATACATCTCATGCTCCCCACTGACGTTCTTGTTGATGTGCCGGTGAGTCTTTCTATGACTTAGTGCATGGCTCTTGCTAACTTCAAACTTGCTGAATTTCAAGCCCAAACTCTCCAAACCATACTTCATTAGCCACTATGGTTAAAAATTTGAGTCAATTGTTGCAGTGGCTAGAAAGTCTATACCTCTGGTGTCGATTCTGACTCTGCCTTTTGTGGTTTCTTGCGGACTGGAGCTCCAAATGGTGCCCATCTCTCAGGAGAAAAACCTCAACAAGAGAAGATAGAAGAGAATGAGTGTTATCCAGAGACAACCGAGGTCGTGTTTGCTCCCACCTTTCTCGAGGTTCTTGTCCAGGTAAAAGCCACATGTTTTGGTACGCCTGTTGTTCTGTCTCTGCCTGTGCTGTCTGCGAGAGAGATGGCTATCTGAGGCACTCCTACGGATCATCCTCGATGCTGCATTCTACAAGTCACATAGAGACAGAGAGACAGAGATGATAGAGGGAGGAGGGAGGGAGGGAGGGGAATGGGATTCAGTGACAAGAGGTGTGCTGACCAGTCTGCAGAGGAAGGCAGTGGTAGGTCTGGGGTAGAGAGGTGGAGGGTCAGAGGGAGGGAGAGTTGGGGAGGGAGAGATTGGAGGCGGGACGAACTGCAACACAGAAAAAAGTCAGCAGGATAAAATGAATGAACTTGAATATTTTAAAGTGGTGTATTTACTCTTTTGCAGAAGGAACGATAGTCGCTGAGTATATTCTCTGCCATTCTCAAGTGGTCCTGTGCCTTCTGTAGTTCCTTGACTAGTGCCTCTATATCATCACTGCTAACAATATCTGTGAAAATGCAAGGGATTTGACTCCCGAGGGAGAAATCATAATCTTGCCTGGTCCCTTGAAGCTATGGAATCTTCCGTGCCCAGCTGTGGCAATTTTCTGCAGACGATGGGTAAGCTCCTGCTCATTAGCATAGTAGCCTTCCTCAAAACTCATCCCTGCCACTGCATGGTTCTCTGTGCGTGGACGGTGTCTGTAGAACACCACATTCACTCTTTGCTGGGTTGAAGTCTTCTCTTGGAGAAAGCTGCATATAGTCTCCTGTGGTAGAGCTAAATACACTGCATGGTTTAGTAACAAAATGACTGACAGTCTTTTCTCTAGGCAGAGAACTGAGAATCAGGTACACTCCAATCTCTGCAAAAGAGAGCAATCATATTGAATCTATACAACAGGATCATTCTATCCCACCTCTGCCATGGTTGAGAGCCGTCTCCAGAGCTGGTACTAGACTAGCAGCAGAACCTGATGGAGACTGACTCAACAGCCACCTGCGATACACCACACTTAGATTTGCTCCGAAATTTCCTTATACCACCATCCCTGTGGAATCTATGGTCAATAACTTACACCCATGCATCACTGAGAGACTGAGGTGACTTTTGAGTGAGACTGGGTCTCCAAGAACAGCTCTCGTCTCCAATTCTGCAGGTTCAGCAACAGTGTGTTAGCTATAGGGTAGCAGTGAGTCATGCCTCCTGACCTCATGATGTTGAACTCCTCTGTGCGAGCAACTTGTTCCAGAAGCAGTAGACAGAGGCAGTTCTGGAGATGACTGGCAAATGGCAGAGTTGCTGCTGACAGCTCTACCACAACCAGAACACTGTTAGGAGTATAATGGTGCTCTAGGTAGCTATGGACCATTAGAAAGATGTACTTACCTTTTCTCTGCTATGACTCCAAACGGTACTCTGCTGCCACTGGTTAGCCAGTTTAGCCTCTGTCTTAGCTGAGATATGTGTGCCTCAACTTGAACCTTATTCAAACACAGTTCACGGGTATATATATGAACGAGAGATAGCTAAACATCTATACTATAGCTACCTGGTAGTTCTCCAGTAAGTGAACATCGACGTGGAGATATTTCAGAGTCCCATCGTGCCATGTGAACTGTGGCATCATCTCCTATGGAACCACACAAGCCATGGTACAGAACCTCTCTCATTGAGCTAGTATTACTGTATATTATCTCACATCGTAGACAACTGAGGAAACTATGGAGAGATTGTCTGGAGAATGGGTCACAGCGGTCTTCACTTGTCGGTAGGCGTTTGGAGCTAACACATGATAGATATTGAGCCCAGAAGCTGTACAGTTATGATAATAGTCAAGTTAGATCTAATGGGGAGTAGGTATACCTTCCAGAGATTGTTTTTCCAGCCACTCTCTGCTGGTTACTGGTAGAGGGTTGTCTTCAGTTGAGCAAAGAGGACTCTCATCTTCAAACTTGCAACATGCTATATTTAGCTGTGTGAGAGATCATGGAATAAACCATAGACTGTGCACCCTGTTATACATGTACACCTGTATAAGAATGTGAAGGACTTTGTCTGAAATGTTCCCTGACTGGAGCAGGTCCAGTTCAGATATTGTCTCCTCTGCCCTGGAAACAATGCCACTATCCAACTGAACTGGATTCTGGCTATTAGCTTCTTACTGGCTCAACTCAGCTCCGACTGTATCAATCTCAGTGTCCTCCACAGAGTAGTGGTCGCTGCCTCTGCTCTGGGAATAGCTGTGGTAATGTGCCCCCATCTCAGACGCCAGCTCTGACAGCATCTCCTGTTGGTTGAGAGAGTGTGAAATCTGAATGAGCTTGCCTCCTTGCATGTAGGCCAAAACACAGCTCAAGCTTTCACGTGGAGAAAGAAAGGGAACTATGCAGAGAGAGGGTCATGTATTACTTACTCTAGTCCTGCTATCACAGAGGTGAGCAACCCAGTGGACGTGAATTCGAGAGCTCCTGCCTCTCAGAAACTCCACCAAAGTGTGTTTCTCTTCCTGAGGCCTGACAACATAATACATTAACTCTTGTGTGTGTGAATATTGTATGTGTGCTAGCTTACTTGCTCCCGAGAACTATGAGTAGAGTGTCAATGTCAGTTAGTGCCAGTGCTCTCTTCAACCCACTCAGAAGACTGCAGACACCACTGCCTTTCAGACCCTCAACCCACTGACCAGCCACCATCTTACTCCTACACACACACACAATATTCCTTCATGAAGAGCTTAGAAACCCTTCTCTCCAAGGACACCTCACTATTATGGGTAACTTTTCTTCCCCCAAGAAGAACAGTTCTTGCATGCAAAAAAATGAGCACAACAAAGACACGTTTCTGTCTCATTGGTTTCCGGATTGGGAGGGGTTTTTATAGTAGGCAAACCTCTGTTTGTTCTTCCTGAAGTTCAGGGGAGTGGGTGGGATGTCAGCAGTCTCTAGAATATAGACTTTGTTTTTCCGTGACAGTTGCTCCTCAAATAGCTGCGTGAGGCTGCGTTTGCACTCTGCAAATATCGACCTTTGCTCTCCCTCTTTCTCTTCTTTGTCTTTACTGTCATCTTCCTCACATTCACTTCCTTCGTCCTTTCTCTCTTGAAAGGCATGTTGGCTTGATGTATCAACCATAAGGCATACCCTGTGTCCCCTAAGTATAAAAAATTCATATTTTGCCTTCGTGTTTTCCTCCCATCTTGCTCAAAAATTGCACATCCCACTATCTTGTCCCAATCTTTCATCTTTCAAAGTGTTTTACCTGATTTCACCAAATAAGGCTCTGCTCCCCTCTTGCAGGTGAAGGAGTCTTTTCTGGTAGATATCCACGGTTGATCGTAGCTGCGATATCTTCCGAGATAGCTGTTGACTCTCCAACCTTGCTCTGGGCAGCCCAGACCTGAGCAACATGCTAGCTATAGTTATACAGATTGTAAGCTGAAACACACAAAACCTGAGTGGTTGCTGCAGCGTTGTTTCCGGAGTTTCTACCTCGGTTTTCAATGGAAATTCAATGAGAGGCGGTGTGCTACAAAACAAAAATGTTTATACTAATCACAGTTCCACTGATACCAGGTGTTCTGTGTGAGCTAACTGGGGGATGGTGGAGTCACGGAGAACGGACTGCAGCGTCAGTTGGAGGGACGGGAGAGAGTGGAGGACCGGCCAGGCTGTCTCCTTCTCGTCCAGACACGGATCAGATGTGAGTTCCGGCTAGACAGGAGAGACTAGTGTACTCATAGGCCCTAAAACTACGAATAGCAAAACGCACCGAAGACATTCTCCTTTGCAAACGGCAGACCAGCCCCGCCCCCAATACCACATTTAACCCCTTCAGCGTGCCCACGTGTAGTAGTAAAGGCAAGGATGAATCGATTCTGCAGGCTCGGTCTCCCGAGACACAGATTCAGGCAGCACTCTCTACAGATCAGACGCCACTTCAGTTCTCTCTCCACTTGCCGATACAGCCGGCCGATCCACCGTCTGCGCAGCTCTGATCGAAACAGTTTGACAAATAACTTCCTCGTCCTCTCCAGAGCCTGTTCCCTGTTCGGTGCATCTGACACAGTCTTCGCCCTCTCTTCTGGCCACGGAAAATGTGGTGAGCCTCGCCTACACTCTTACCCATTTTAAAACGCCGCAGCAGCACGCGAGAGGCAGAAAGAAAAGCACACAAATGTAGTAGCATGCAATGCTACTTACTTAATACAGACATTATAGCTACCTCTCTACAGGAGTAGAGCATGCAGCAGCAAAGAGTAGTAGCATGCAGTGCTACACAGCTACTTCCCCTCTCTACAGGAGTTGCAGTAATAAGGACCACAGGACCCCAATCTAGAGAGGTGTTAAACCAATACTTTTGCCATTCGGTGAGGGTAATGTATGGAGACTCTCTCCTATTACAGTGTGTGCTGAGGTTGACAGGGAGACGAGAGCTACCTCAGCCCAGGAAGGCAGTTCTGAGGAAGCTCTCTGACCCGGTGACTGGGGATACCATCGACCACTCACTAGTACTCTGGTTCCCAGGTAGGGAGGGAGGGAGGGAGGGACAGAAAGAGAGAAGGAGAATGAGGAGGAAAAGAGAGAGAGAGTTTGTGTCAGCTCCCCACAGCTTTACTGGTGAAGACTGTGCAGAGTTCCACGTCCATGGAGGACCGTCTGTGGTGCTGGCACTGCTGACAGCTCTCGGGAGACAACCAAACTGCTCTCACGCACAGGCTGGAGACTTCACCAAGAGGTCGACAAAAACGTGCAACATATTCAACTCAACTTCTCAACAAACAACTTATCCTCATTCGTGCTTCAATCATTCACTTAGGTTTCCTTTACTTATCGCCTCTATATTGCCAAACAGTGCGATTTGGTGGTGATATGCAATATTTGGAACATGCAGGGGGCCTTTGGTCTCTCTGAAATGCAAAGTTAAAACTTCTCTCAATAATTTCAGAGCGTTCTTCAACGGGAAGCTGGAGCTGACGGAAGTGGAAGGTTTGGCTGATTTGATTCACGCCGAGACCGAGGCTCAGAGAAAACAGGCCGTCCGACAGATGGAGGTCGGAGTTCACCACCACCTGGTCACATGACTGTCATGTGACGTATTTGTCCTATGTACGTAGGGAGACCTGGGGACGCTCTATTCTAACTGGACCCAGCAGCTCAAGAAGGTTTGGGTTGTAGCTACAACATATCTGGCATCTTCCAATAACTTTTTTAGCTGTTTTACACAATAGCCTAATACTGATTACCGCCAAATTTTAAAATTCAAAATCGCCTGATTTTTGCTGCAGTAGTGAAAAAGAGAGAAAGGATTCTCACTTAAGAGTGTATATATTTGTACAGGTGGTGGCTCACGTGGAGGCAGTGATAGACTTTGGAGAAGATGAGAATATCGAAGATACCGTCATGGATGAAGGTAAATTTCAAGGAAAATATTTTGGTTTTTCATCCATAATTATGCTTAAATCAGGATAACTGAAATCCTTAGTTGTGTAACTGGTTTCCGTGAAACCTCAAAAAACCGCCGATACACAAAAAAAAACAGTCCCAAAAAATGAAATTTTAGCTCAGTGTGGTTCATATTATGTAACTATTTGTGTCCCAGTGAAGAGTGGAGCGAGGGAGATACTGGAGGAGATAGAGGTCCCACCTGAACGACGGGAGGAGGGGAGAGAGACTGCGTAGTGGAGTACACGTCTCCATCCTCGGAGCACCCAATGCAGGGAAGAGCAGTCTTCTCAACAAACTCTGTAAGATTGTACATCGCAATGAACAAACCTTCTAAAGATCATGTTACGTAATATTTGGCCATGTGGACTTGTGCGTAGGTTTCATATCAATCTAGATCTATTGTTAATTGCTGAGATGTGTTACATTATGCACGACCTGGTAAAGGCTTCAGTCTTGGCCTAGGCTCAATTTCGTCATTCCACGGGATTAGTGCAGACAAGATTTAGGTGGTTTCGTAAGACAATTCGTGACATGCCACTAGCCACCGTATTTCATGCACAGATTCATCCTAGCTGTGGTTGTGTCGTTTGATAGTCTTTACGCTACATGCACTTGCCTTGGGCTTACACCCTGTGGTTCATGTATCCTAGGAGCAGGACTAAGAGAGAATGCGTGTTGAATTCAGGTCAGAGGCCAGCTGCGATTGTGTCTCCTCACGCCGGAACGACGCGGGACGTGGTGGAGTCAGCCCTCGACATCGCCGGCTACCCCGTGGTCCTTAGTGACACCGCCGGCTCTGAGACAGGCCTACGACCCCGTGGAACAGGAGGGAGTCCGCAGAGCTCTCAACAGGTGTGCTGCCAGACACTCTCTGTCATCTCTGGTATATAGTACTACATGTACCACTACATTGGTATCACATGGGTCTTTACAATTTGGAGTGCACCTGGTCCAACTATCAATGTGTATAAATTTGAGTTTAGTCTAGAGCTGCGCTTGCACTGTATATATGTGATCTACTGGATCCATAAAGATAAAAAGTCACACACACACATCGTTTTTCCTCTCCCAATGATGTAAAATGAGAAGGCTTTTTAGAAGCATCTCAATGATTGTGACCTGATCTCTCACTGATCCCAGAGTGGAGTCAGCTGACCTGTGTGTGTTGGTAGGAGACCTTTCAGTGGTGGGTGGTGAGCTGCTGGAGGAGGATGTTTCACCTCCCTTCACTCTGCCCCAGCTGGCCAGACATCTGCTTCACTCTTACTCTGACCATCACCCAGGGTATATAGTCTGTACTGTACTGTCGTGTTTCCAAAGAAAAATGCTGAGAATTTTGGCCAGCAAACCCAGAATATGGAGAATTAGCCTGCAATTCAAGTGAAGCACACTACACACAGGTGGCTAACCTAGAAGATGCAGGCACATATATGATTATTCCTGACGTGTAAGATAATCCTGATTGGTCCAGAATCTAACCATGTAGGTAGCCATGCTTTTTTCAACGCTACTATCTTTATCTGTATATACTTTTCACTTTTCCACATTAAAAAGCTTAGCTTTTCTCTCTCATTCTCTCTGCAGTTCTACAGAGCCCACTAGTGAAGGTGTTGGTACCAGTGAGTGGCTGGAGAGAGTTGTGGCCAGCCTTCCCTCTCTGAGTACTCTGGTGGTCTTGAATAAGACTGACCTTCTGGGAGGAGAGCAGAGGTCTCTGCTGGAGAGAAGGCTGTCGTCTGAAACCGTGAGTGAGCGAGGAGATGATCCAATACAGTTAGCAAGAGATAGAGGACGTCACTATGCAGTGAGTCAAGGAGGAGCATTCAATGCTAATAGATGCATCGAGACATTTTGTGTTTCTCTCAACAAAGTTTTCTTAAGTTTTGTTTTTCTGCTAGCTTTCATCACGACAAGAGCAATGCAGAATTATGACGCCTATCCTTGTGTTAAGCTGCGCGTCAAAGTGCGACATTTTTGCTGTTGTAGAGTGTGGATTTGAACGCCTCCTGTGTTCTTGACACCCTTACTTTTCCGGCAGGACAAGAGGCTGGAGTTGTGTTGGGTGTCCTGTAGGACAGGTGACGGTGTGGACCAGTTCATGGAGAGCTTCACCAGTCACCTGGAGAGACTGTGAGAGAGCAGTCTCCTCACGCACGTAGGAGAGAGAGTCTGGTCAAACTGCCATAGTCGAATTTTTCAAAAGCGGCGATTTTTCAGTGCAGACCCCCTCTCTCTAATCTCTCTCTCTCTCTCTCTCTCTCTTGGTCGTCACTAGCTAGACTAACTTTTCTCAGTGAGGGCAGAGGATGAAAGAAACGTATGATCTCTACAGGTGCGGGGACCCTATGACGGGGAATCCCAGTATCACTCAGGCCAGACACAGGCAACACCTCACACAGTGTGCCCTCCTACTCCACAACTTCATTGGTAAATCCCAGTAAACTAGTCAGTATACTAAGCCACTCAGTAAACTAGCCAGTATATTAAGCCACAAACCTTGGGGAATTCCAGTAAACTAAGACAATGATTCAGCCTCTCTATACAACCACTGTCCAATGTGGAATTTATGTCCTCAATTACATGTGTGTGTAGGTTGGATAGAGAGTGGGGGTGAAATGATGCTGGACAAATCGGCGGAAGAGCTTCGTACAGCCATCAGAGAGATTGGCAGAATCACTGGCAGAATTGGGGTTGAGGATATTTTGGACGTTGTGTTTAGCGACTTTTGCATCGGTAAATGATGAGAAAAACTGATCAATATTGCTGCAGACATAATCAAAATCACAGCAAAAGTTGTTTTCTTTGGGTGGGGCTGGTGTGATTTTTCGTGAGTGTTTGAAAATAAGTGGTGTGGATGTTTGGAATTGGTGAAAAACAATGGACATAAGGACCTGTGTATTATACAGCTGTTGGTGATGAATAATATGGCTTCTTGGCATCCATGGAATGCTCACAAAAATGAACCTATTATCCCTGCCCTCCCTCTCCAGGGCGATCTAAAGGTTATATCTGTGATCGGTCTCTTCTCCGGTCTTTGAATCACTCAGATACAGGCTTTCGTGATCGCTATAGTTGTCTGTTGCGTAGAACCCATTGTATATGCCCACCATACTTCCCGACTGCTGCACGGCATCGCTGTGAGGGTTACAGTAGACGAGAGAGGTGGCCGGCCAGTGGCAAGATCTCGGTCGTCGCGTCTTCTCCCTGCTTTCTTCTCTGAGTCTGACCTGAAGTGACGGGTACCTTGCTCGCAGACACACGACAGACGCCGCAGTCTCTCGCTTGAGTTCGAGTCTCAGTTTGTCAAAACGCCCGCTGATCTGTGTGTCTCTAATGGCTCTCTGGAGCTCCAGCGGAGCCGTCAGCTCATCTGCTCGCAATAGCGGCGTAGATTCGTCGTGGGAGAGAAACTCCCGCGCAAACGTCGCCTCTCGCTGGCAGATCTCGGCCAGTTTCAGCTGGTACTGTTGGCGGAGCTCCGCCATCTTACGACTGTACTCCAACGCCTGCTTTCGTCGTAGAAACCCGCTGTAGGGGACTTCTCCCACGGCCAGTATGGAGCTCCACGCGTCCAGCAGTACCGCTTCTAGCTCCGCGTCGGTCGTCTCGGGCACAGCGGACAGGCTGGAATCGCTTTCTTCTGCTCCTTCTACTTCCTTTGCCGGGTCCAAGGCGGCCGCGTTAGGAGAGGGTGGCTCTTCTCTCTCCGGGGTCGGGGAGAGGCTGGCGCGGAGCTGTCGGCTCCCGCTAGGTCTTCTGCGGAGACTCAGTCTAGTCCGGAATAGCGAGCTCGTCCATCCTGGAACGGAGAGACTTCGCCTGGCTCTAGTCCTGGTTCCTCTTCCACTGATGCTGCTGTGAGGGGCTATGGAGACGCTGGTATCGAGTTGTTCGTGAGGTCCCTCGTAACGGCTGACGCTGGTGCACAATTCCGGCGAGAAAGTATCGTCGGTCGTTGTCGGGGAGGAGGCTGGTGGTGGTGCGTAGCTGGTTCCGTTCTCGACCAGGGGGAGTGAAGACGGCGTGGTCTTTTCGTCTCGGGACCTAGTCAGGGACCCGGAGAGTGACAGGGCAGCGGCAGAATCGATAGTCTTGCTGCTGGAGAGCCGGACGCCGCCTATAGTGTTCCTCCGTTTGTGCCGCGACGACTCCAGGGGCTTGTAACTGTAGCTCCTCCACTTTGGGAATGTCATCTCTCTCTTTAGATAGCTAGGCCGTTGTCTCTCCCTTTCGCTCGCAGTTTCTTTTGTCTCCTGATGAACTGCACACGCGCCCTCAGCAACCGCGCTTTTATATACTCAGTTGCTGCGCATGCGCAATTAATCTCCCAATTCATGCGGCGGCTATCAAAAGAAGATAAAAACTGTGACACATAATTCAGACATCTTATGAATGTAGTCCAGATTGAGAAAAAAAGTGGTGAAAAGTCACTGCCACACCTGAGAAGAAAAAAGGTATCATTTCAACGAAGACGGTTGATGAGAACAATGTGAAAAAGATGGGCGTGTACCTTGATGGAGCTGTCGACGGAGCCAGAGAAGAGACGACCTCTCGAGATGGCGAGACAAGTGACGCTGCTCTCGTGTCTCACCAGGGTCTGGGCACACGTCATGTGCTGCATGTTCCAAACCTACACACAGGGACCAACGAAGAAAGAACGAAATTACCAACGCTACAAAGGGTCACCTCAATTGGCAAGATTGTACATACCACCAAGCAGCTGTGGTGTATTGACCATAGATCGCTATATGCATAGCTCAGAGTTTGAAGTACGATCAATGGGGCTCTAAGTTACCACACCTGTTAATGTGTATCTCATCAATCAAGTGACACAGCCGCTACTTCTCCAGCTACAACCTAACAAACCTTCCATTTAGTATATAGTCGTCCCAATTGTTGGATACTCAAAAGGCTGCGCCACACTATATTTATATCACGTGTGCATACACCCAAACTACTGACATTAGCCCGGAATAATTCCTCTAAGGCAGAAGCAGTCAGGGTAAATATAGTCTGCTCACAAACACACTCCTCTCTGGCACACAACGGTGAATACAGTGGTTGTATTGAGGAGTGAGTGGGAGCCTTGCACCAGCTACAGGGTGTCCTGTACCTGGACCATTGTCGAGGTAAAGTAGCAACGCTACACTAACATTGTGCCTACAACTGTCATATATAGACCGTGGGCCATCATTATGAGTGCCCTCTATATACGTCTGTGTTTGGGCTCAACTGGTTGATGTGAATCACGTGGAATTTTTGGAATACCGCCATGGATCATAGGGAATGGTGCCAACACGTTTGATGGTGTATTTCCTAAGAAGCTGATGTAGATACTTGCCTTCCACCTGGGCTGAGTGCTCAGTAGTGATGAATACAGCATACATAATATATACACCTACTAAACTCGGTAAATTGTATGTGACAGGGTATAATAGGCGAATTGGTATACAACTGACCCGGAGCGTCTTGTCGTAGCAAGCACTAAAGAGTCTAGTTGAGCCAGGAGACTCCATTACTTGGAGGGCATACACTATTCCGACATGGCCGGTCAGATCTGCAACGTTCTTTAGTGATTTTACATCCCACACCTGACCAGAGAGAGAGGAAGAGGGAGGGAGAGGGAGGAAGAAGGAAGAGAAGAAGAACAAGAAGGAAGAGAGAGGCAGAGGCAGTTCAAAAAGGAGAGAAAATGAGGAGAAAGGTAGAGGAGAGGAGAGAGCGACAGTTGAAAAAGATCTGTGCTCTTGGCACTAAAAACACAATTTGGACACAAAACTTCAGTTCATGGACACGGAGCCTACACAGTGTCCTTACACATATCTTGTTCTCGTAAGTGCCGCAGATGATGTGTTCTTCGGTGACAGCCAGGGAGTAGACGCTGCCACCTCCGTGGCACTGCAGCACCTGGGTGCACTCCAGACTCTCCAGGTCCCAGATCTATACATCCACCAACATACAGAACATTACATAGTAGTATATACACAGTTAGGCCAAGTGTGCTTAAATCATGCAATGTTGGACCCAATTACATACCAGATTGGGTTCACTATACTTCACACTTTGAACCTAACTATGATGCATGTATTATACCCTCCCTAAAAGGAGCTTCAGTCAAAAATAGAAACTGTGGGTATACACCAGTGGTATATATATATATATATACACCAGTGGTATATATATATATATATATATATATATATATAATAGTAGTATTAAGAATGAGAGTATGCTGGTAAGAAGGCTGGAGGAAAGAGAGAGAGAAAGAGAGGTCGAGGTTCTTCACCTTGATGGCCTGGTAGGATCCAGAGTAGAGGTTCTTCCCGGAGACCACGAGTGCTCTGACCCAGTGGTTCTGTGTGGGCAGTTCCTGCACCAGTTTCTTGGTCTCTATGTCCCAGATCTACAGCAGCCAGGTCAGGAGACAACACACCAATGAGTAGCACTCTAATGCCATTCACACTGCCATTCACACTGCCAACAAAAGTGAGGACTCTGCTAGAGGCACTATCATTATTACATACATCTAGCGCATCAGTGCCTTAACTTTTTAAGTTTGATGTCAAGTTCTTAAGTTTGCATTGACTACCAGTCTTTTTTACTATTTTGTTGTTTTAAAGCTCTGCTATTTGGAGTTTCTTGGTCTCAAAATTTACAATTTGACCCAACAGAGCAGCTAAAACAACCGGAGAGAGAGAGAGAGAGGTGAGGAGGTCACCTTGATGCTCTTGAGGGAGCCGCTGAAGAGTCTGTTCTCTGAGAGGGTGATGGTGCACACTGGGTTCTCGTGAGCTCCGATGGTACTGACCACCTCCGTGTTTTGAATGTCCCACATCTTTATGTTGTGGTCCACCGAGCCACTGAATAGGTACTTCTCTCTATAATTGGGGGGGATATACTATTGTCACTGGTTTATGAACCACTCTCTCTGTGATTAAGGACTGATATTAAAAGAGTGGGTAAAAAAGAATAGCAAGTGTTAAATAGTCCCCAGACCCATTTCGTCCCAACAGATCATGAAGCCTATCACATCAAGGTAGTGGATGCATTAACACTTCAGTTATAGCACAGTGAGTGAAAAGGTCCTGAATTTAGCCTCAAGATATCAATCAGCTGGTCATCCCTTCATCTTTCCCAACTAATTTCACACTACGGAACAACAAAGACGAAGATTTAAGGGTGACAATATGTGGTTTCCTGGGTCAACCAGCAAAGTCTTCATATGTCAAAGCTTGCAATCCTTGAAAGGTGTTGTGAAATTCATCACCAAATCTTCAGTTTCCCACCACATGAACTACTATAGGAGGTTGAATTGTTAGCTCACTCACCCGAGAGCACAGAGAGCTAATACTATTCCATCATGTCCTGTCAGAGTGTTCATGCACTTGAAACTAGTGGTGTCCCACACCTACAGGAGGGAACAGTGACAGAGAACAAGAGAACTCCATAACAATAAAGAACCTTGAAATGTATGTATGTATGTATGTAACAGAGAGAGTAGGGGAGAGAGGAGGGAGGAGAGAGGGATGAAAGAAGCGAGGACAAGACAGGCAAAAGTTTCCCCCCACCTTGATGGTATTGTCGGAGGAGGCACTGAATAGCATGTCTCCCGCCACACATAATGCCCACACTGGGCCCTGAACAACACAACCAGAGGAACCACCATAGTCGACATGTACAGTGGACACATGTACAGATAGAATGTCTATCTATGTCTATGTATGGGTGTGTTGTGGTGAATTCACTAGAGGAACAGTCGGTGTAATGAGGACAGTGTGTGGTATAGACAGAACTGTGTGTATTGTGGGAGAGTGTTGGAGAGAGCTTACAGCATGGCCGACAAAGGTCCCCTTGCATTTGAAGAGGTGGTGTGTATCCATTGCTACAAGTGAAGAAAATGAGAAGAGAAAAGTAACGAGTGAGAACAGGTTTATGTAGCTCTAATGCAACTGTTGCCAACTAAGAAAAGGTGGTGAACGACTTACTCCCAGCTACTCCAAGTTGCATCTGAACATTCTGTACCTCGTTCTGTGGTACCGGAACGGGAGTATCGGAATGGGAACACGGCAGAATGTGGCAATGAACTCACGAGAATGAAGTTGACTCCGTGGCGTGCCTCCACCACCTCTCTCTGAACCTTTGTCTGTCTCTGCTCCATCTCCTCTGAATACAGCAGGAAGACGACGGAGGGAAGGCAAGTATTCTTGAAGGAAATCATTACATCATTTCTCGTACAATGTGAAGTTAAAAAAACCCAATCCTTATGGCATTACTGCTAGCGTGCTTGCTTTACATATGCACACACAAGTATATATATATGGAGTCTATTCTTGTATGCTGTAGTCACAAACGTAAGTGACATACACCCAGGAACTAAACCAGACTTTAGCGAGCGATGCCCAATTTAAGCAACAGGAGTCTTATTGTAAACCAGGCTTCAGATAAAAGACCCTCCCATCCCTCCAGAGGTCATCTCCCCCTCACCAATCCTCCCGATGGCAGTCTTCTCCAGCTGGTCCACCTTCTCGGAGAGCGAGGCCAGCATGGAGCGAAGGAACACAATATCCTCGTCCTTCCTCTTCACCTCCTCTTGCAGCTCCGTGATATGCTCATCCGTTCTACTGAGGAATCCCTGGTCGGACAGCAGGAAGATGAACAAGAGGAGAGAGAGAGAGAGTGAGAAGAGGTTAGCGATTGCTAATGTATGTGTAAGATTCCTCCCTTGCTGGGAAGTACAATTCTACCTAGCATCATGCATGCATAATTTTTAGTGAGTTCCGGAATGTTCTAGATGGTTCTTGTGTGTACCTTTAGTCCCTCGAACTTGCACTGCTCCAGATGTGATCGCAGCTCCTCTCTGGTGCCCTCAAATGAACAGCTGCACATATTACACAACGCATAGCCATTCTCGTGCAATGTACATACATCAAGAAAGCTATTAGATTTTCTTTTCCCAGGGAGCAAATGGTAATGTATTCTATAGACCGAGGCACTCACTGATATCTGTGGTGAGGACAGCGAACGTGGGTACACACTAACAGATGGTCCCCCAAATTCTGACAGAGAGGGCAAAGGAAAGAGATATATATGGTCAGTGATGGTGTGACGAGAGAGAGAGTAGTACTAACTTTCTTGAGGACGACCGGACATTTGGAGCTGTTTGGACACCTCACAGGAGCATACTCACACTCCTTCTCATGATCTCTGAGAGAAAATGAGAGAAAAAATAAAACCATACATATTATTTTTACACAGCTAAGAATTTAGGGTAGCATTCTTTTTTGGAGCAAAACTTCTGATTATCAGTACAAATTATGTGCCTCAAAAGATGATGAGAAAGAGAGATAGTGTTACCGACTCACTCTCTGCAGCCAAGTTTGATGATCATCGGGCAGCCTGTGTGAGAAGGAGCCAGTGATCATGTGACAATCATGTGATGATCAGGTGACCCACTTACCGTCGGGGTCCACTTCGTACTCGTCAGCGTCGTCCTCGATGGGCTTGGTACCGTAGCGACAGTGGATCAACAGCTCCCCCACCTGGTCCGCTATCTGGGGAACAGGAGGGAGAATTGGAAATAACATGTAACAATAGACCATGTGATGCCAAGACCGGTGCAGTAGTGACTACAATTCACCAAAAGATGTTCACTTTTAAACATTTAACCCATAACTCGTATAAACTTCCAAAAAATCGACCAATTAACTAATCAATCTGTGTGGAAAGGAAGTGAGACTTACGGCCAAGTTCTTGACGACCATAGAGAGAGTATTGTGATCCAGAGGGCATAGATCTGCAGTCAACAACAAGAACATTTAGATCCACCATTATCATACCTTGCTAACTAGGGGAAATGTCTTACCTGATTTCCCCTGTAGACATGGTCTGCAGAACGAATGCTGCAGAAACAGAACGATCATTCACTAGTATATGGCTAATCCGCATGTGGGGTATGTTAAAATGAAGTGCATTAATGAGCAGGGGCTTACCCCACAGTTAATATGTATGAGAGTGTGCTGAGGGAGTTAATTGAGTTAACGAGCAGGGGCTTACCCCACAGGTAGCGATGTAGGGATCTCTAAAGACTCCCTTGCAGAGAGGGCAGATGAGCGTCTCATTCTTTGCCGCCTCGGCCAGGACTATGATCTCCTGCAACCAACAGGTCATGTGACTGTCACATGATAGTCATGTTGCATACCTTGAAGTTTTCCTCGGTTGCCGGGGAAACCATTGAGCGGGAGGACGCAGCACTCGACAACCGGTGGTCGAAGTTGGTTGGCGTCTGAGTGGAGAAAAGATGGAGAGGGCAGATCATTAAAAATAAGCAGAGTCTTACAGACGATCTGTCTCCAAAGGTGTGTATGTAGTGATCGGATGAGAAGCTGACTCGAGAGATACTGGACGTGTTTGAGTGAGTTCTCCGGTGGACCTCGATAGAACGTCTCTGCTGCAGTCAAATGTATGGCGATCGAGGAGAGATCTGAGCGGTGTTGTATTCATCGTATATACCTGATGAGAACGAGGCTCGACCTGCAGGCCGTGGAGATCTGAATCCTTTCATGTCTGTCACGTGACCCTGAGACATCATAACAATGCACGCCGGTGGCACGTACTTTAAGCTCAGCAAAGAGTGTACACATGCTCACGTTGTGGATTGGTAATGGAGAAAGTGTGGGCCTTGGGCGAGCCGTCGTCCTCTCTGTGCCGATGGTGGGGAAACATAACCACTCACACTCTCTGCCAGCAGCGGGAGAAACAGACAGTGCCAACAACACCACGCCCTAGCTCTCGGCAGCCTTCGATTTTCCCGGCCTCGGCTTTGTTTGCGTAAAAAACCAATTCAGTCTAGAAGGGGTTAAAGCGCGCACGTGATCACAATGCAGCACATGCTAGATTTTTCTGAGGGCCGCGCCGAGAGATCTAGTGAGAGGCGAGTCTAAAAGGGGCGTTAGGCGGGATATTTCTTCGCTAGGCCCTTCTCCAGGCGCTCTCCACAACTTACACGGCGTTTCACCCGTCTCCCCAGAGAGAGCCAGTGGTAAAGTCCGAGCAGCTGCAACGACAACTGAAAAAAGGCAGCCGTCAAGAACTACAGCAACGGAAGAAGAAAGTCTCGCGCCTACCGTCTCGTCACCTTCCAGTTGTTCCTCAACTAGAAGAAAGAAACTACTAGAAAGGCAACGAAAGAAAGCCCTCGTTTTTCATTTGTAACCTCGGCTGTTGGCGCCACTCGTGAACAAAAAACGGAGGAGTGTTAGAGAGAGAGAGAGCGGGCTGCTGTTTTTAGCACCGCTGAGAGTCCTTCGCTGTCTTCCTACAAGAAAAAAGGCAAAAGAAAACTGCAGGTGTGAAATTGTCAACTGACGGACTGAGTCAGATACGTTGAGCAGTGGACATCCTCTACCAAACATACTCTACTTAGACACTGCATTACCAACTCATCCCTGCCGATTGGTAAAGTCAAGACCCACCACAACAGGAGGCAAACAAGTGGCGACGTCAGAGATGGACCTGAGTCTGGACGAGATAGTCTCGATGAAGAGGAGAGGGAGAGGAAGAGGAAGAGGAGTAGGGAGGGGAGCACTGCGAGGCCGCGGGCAGGGAAGAAGAGGGGGGCTGGTCGGAACACCCATTCAGCCAGACGGACGAGTCGGCAGAGGGGGAGGAGTCACGGCAACAAAGACAGGCAAAGATCTCCGAGACGTCCTGGCAACGAAGCAAAAGATGCAGGTGGTCGACTTGAGAGCAAAGATAAAACCGAAAATGTCTCCGGTGTCAGTGGGGCGTGGTCGAGGGAGGCCACACCTATCACAACGAGGAGGGAGAACGTCAGCAGTTGCTGTACCATCGTTCCCTGCCACCCCGCGGCGTGCCCGCTCGAGATCACCCATCAGGAAATCGTTTTCCTCCCCTCCTCCCCAAGCTGACCCCAACTCCAGGAGAAGGAGAGAGAGTCCGATAAGACTTCCGTCGTCGGCCGAAACTAAAAAGATAACGGTGACAGTTCCCGGGCTGAATAGGCCTGTGTCTGAGGTGAGTGTGCGCTGGGCCGCCTTACCCCTCGTTCTTCCTGCCCCCTAGAAACTGGTTAGTCGAGCTTTTCACGGGTGAGGGGAGAGCGTAAAAGTGTGGCAGAGCAGTTGTGTGTTTGTGTCTTTTGTTTTTTCAGTGTTGGAGCTGTTATTGCTCTAGCCATCAGTCTCTCTCTCTGCCCCTCCCTCGCCTTGCATGACGTAACACCGCAGTGGCCTCACCACACAGGCTGCTTGTGTACGCACCCGTGGCTCTATGTGGCCTCTATGGTACATGTTGTGTTGTGTGTGTGTGTGTCGTCACGGTTCTCTTGTGTTTCACTGTGTGAGCAAAGTTTGTTGTTGTTTATTTGTAATCATCGGATGAGCGAGTCAAGAAAGCATCCCCTTGTACCATCAAATCTGGAATTGAGCAGCTCTAAAACACCGCTCCAACTTCATTTGCCACACATTGCTCCTCGGCAGAAAATGTACCACTAAGAAAAAAGGTTTCGTTGTAAGATTTTGTAAGTAAGTGGGACATCTTGCCGACCTCGGATTGAGCTCAGTATTTTATTTACGGTCAACAAATCCAACAGCAGCCGTTTTTGAGTAAATCAATCAGCATTTTATCCCATGTGCCTCAGTATTTCCTTGAAAACTCACATTCCTTCACCGTGTGTGCCGCTTCATGTTCCAATCTTTACAAGCCAGCAATAATTCCGAAAAATTAACTCGAAAATGAAATCCAATCCTTGGAAATCGATGCTCATACCTTCCAACATCATCTAATGTTAAGAGCTGAATTAGCTCCAAATAAATTCCCAGTGTCTTTCCATTCCGTGGCCGGTAATGCAACTTCTCGCTGTGCCCCTGCTTCAGCATATCACTCTATTTCAAGAGTAAGAATTAATCATCTTCAATTTCGGTCGGTCGCTGGTTTTGTCATTATGGAGAACTCTCAAATCTTCACCTCACTACTATTGCCTTCATCCATACTACAGCATTATGTGAACATTCAGCCAGTTTTTCACAATCCAACAATGCTGCACGTCCTCGAAAGTCTTCGGTTGCCACTGTTTTTGGATTAAAAGGGAGTATCATACTGATAGGTGCGGTGGCCGGAGGAAGGGGGGGAAGGGATGGGAAGGAGGGAGGGGGACGGGGGCTAGTGGCGGTAGAGGGCAGAGCGTAAGGGGGAGGGGGAAGAGCAGGAGGGGAATGGGAAGTCAATTGCTTCCTTACATTACTTTTTTTTTTCATTCAAGTGGGTGTATCCCATTTTCCGTCTTGTCAAAAAGTGTACTTCTTAACTTGGTAATACCGACGAATCAGACGTCGGTCCGTCTGAATTTGCGTTTCGCCTTCACCGCGCATGGCACCTCCGATTCGTCCACCTCCGCCCGTCGCTTGGCGCGACAGGTGAGACCACATCCGTGTCAGGCGAGGTAATGCATATTCCAACCGGGCAAGGTCTACCTGAAGCGTAGCTTCCTTTGTTTGTGCACGTTGTCTGAATATTTCCAGAATCAAGCCCGTACGATCTACTACGACGATATCAAGCGCCCCTTCAATGTTGCGCGTTTGGGCAGGCGTAAGGTCTTCATCAAAAATGACTGTATCAGCACGTAATTCTTCAATCGATACTTGAAGCTCTTTAATTTTTCCTTGCCCTATAAAATAAGTTGGATTTGGGGATGCGCGTGTTTGGACAATCTCGCCGACGACTTCCATTCCAGCAGTTTCTGCAAGTTGCTCCAACTCCGCTAGTGAATCTTCCACCTCATGCATCAAGCCATTTCGTAACTTGACGCCAACAAGAATTGCTCGCTGTGAGGAAGTCCCCCACGCCGTCTCATTCATCTCACGCATTTTTTCTCCCAATGGTGGTAATTCACCAGAACCATCAGTAATAAAGTCCACAACGGTTGGCAATATGTAACATTTAGCGCCACCCCTGACGGGTTGTATCGCGTAGTTCTTTAATCTCCTGTCTATTGACGAAATTACTGCATACTAATCTCATCAAAACCCACCTATTGCAGTTGGATTAGATTTTGGTTTAGCCTTTGGCAATAGTTTCCCACACCTCATCGACTGTAATCAATTTCATACAGACATTATCCTTGCAATGATTAGTGAATTGTTTGCACGGATTACACGGGACTTCGTGGCGGATAATACTATGAATGGGATCCAGCGGTTGAAAACGGATGTGGTCGCCGGGGCCAAACAGAGCAACTGTTGGCGTACGTAATGCGGCAGCAATATGCATCGGCCCGGTGTCATTTGTAAGGAAGAGATTACAGCGCTCGATCAGAGCCGCCAACCGGCGAATCGGATGGTTTCCGGCTAATGAGGTCCTTGCTCGGTCATCAGCGATTACACAATTAGCCAATTGACATTCATGTGGTCCGCCGAAGACAACTACCTGTGCACCGAAATCTCTGACCAAACGGTCGCCAATCGCCGCGAAGCGATCGGGCATCCATTCCCGTAACTTCCACCCAGCACCTGGGAATAACCCTACCGTTGGCCTGTTTCCATCAATGCTTTGTTTTTCCATGGCGTCCCGTGCATATTTCCGATCGCATTCCGAGAGAAACAACTCCAACGTTCGATCTTTCGCCTCGATTCCCGCGGCATGCAGCAGGTCAAAGTAACGATCGATGGCGTGTCCGGACGAATCGCGAACACGCACGGAACATAGCAACCCTTTGGGTTGATGATATCCAACTCGATACTTTGCACCACTCAAGTATCCAAGCAGGCTCGTGCGAAATTTCCGCTGGAAATCAATAGTAAGATCGAACTGTCGTTCACGCAGGGCACGAACCCAAGTCTAACTCATCTCGGCGTCGGTCTTCGTCTTGGCAGTGCGCATCATTTCACACACAGTGGACGGCGTCAACGATGTGGGTTTTCTGCAAGTAGATCTGCAGATTGGCTTGCGACAAGCATGGAAATACGTGCATTTGGAAAATGATTGCGCACCGCACGGATTGCTGGGGAGGTAAGAACAACGTCACCGAGTGAACTGAGACGAATCAAAAGGATGTATCTCAAATCAGCCTCGTCAATTGTTACTTTTTCACAAGTCCTACGCAAACGCAACGTGTTGCAAGGTTCGGAGTTTCGGAGCACAAATTCTGCACGAAAAACGCTCACAGATCGCTTTGCACAAATGTGTCAAATGCCAATCATGATGAGCAATCAGTATCGCGATTTATGGATGCGGCAATCCGGCGTGTACGTTCTTATACCCTTCCACACCATCCTGACGGTAGGTCAGCTCACTTTGAAATCCACTCACATGTCAGCAGCATCGTCTCACATGGACCGCTGACACAGCGCCTTTGACCGGACAACCACAGCCTATCCGTACACGCATAGTTTGCACGAGATGTGAACATCTCGTTTCGGAACAGACAGCGTTGCGGTTCGGCATGCCCGCCGCGCTCGCAAAACCAAAATCCTCAATGGTGGCGTCGTAGGGGTAAGAAGCGGCTGCACTTGATTCATTGACAGCCCTTCAAATGACTCTAGGTCGCCACCAATGCCCGTCCGTGGCGGAATCACCAAGTCCTCTCCAAGTTCACGCCAACCGATGAACAGGACAACTTTATCCCTTGGTCCATTCAGAATGCCGTTCAGAATGGAGTGGTTGCTAGTAGGACCGAGGGCAGTGATTACATTGAGCCCTTGACCGCGCGTTCTGACAGAGATTCGTCGTAAAGTTGCACAAACACATCTCCCCCAAATACGATGTCGACGTCGTTAGTAAAAACGACCGATGCTTCTTACCCGCCACAAATTTCTGCAAGGTCTGCAACATCGGGCAAGCGCGATATAAGGTACACATTTTCGATCTTCGCTGGTCGGAGTGTGGGAATAAATGTGCAGCCTGCTAACACCCGCTGAGGCTTTTGTACACGAGACGCGCGCGATTCACTCTGCCCGCGGTCAAGCCCGGAAGGAAGAAGAGTCAACCGGCTGAAAAACGCGGAAAAAAACCGCACCCACCTCTGGCACGGGACGTTAAGTAATGTTTCTCATAAATCATGTGCTCTGATGCATCCGTGTTTAAACTAGGGTACGATCGGGATTCAATCCAGTGGTTGCTACGACTTGCCGACGCCGGATTCCGGACTCTTGGCGTGGTTTTGCAACCGCTCTGATAACCGGTTCGCGGATAATCGTCAAGGTCGCAATGGTTTCGCTCGCTTCGCCCGACTTGCTATGACATGAAAAGTGTCTTTGCCCACATAGCCCGCGCGCCGATAACACTCCCAACAAACCGCTGAGCGCGCACAGGCGTCGCACGATCCGTCCAGTCGCCCTGGCTGCATTTCCGCGTTTCGTTCCCGATAGCCGTGTGAAAAGGCTGGTTTGGTTAAGTATATCCATGACAATACCCCGGGGCAA